TCTGTTACCGCAGGCTACCTCTTAAAATCTCAAAATTACACAGTTTAGAAGGAAGATATTTTCTCAGTCACTCAGCGAACATTTATTGAGCTATGTGACAGACACTATGTGACAGACACTGCGCTAGATGTAATTTAAAAATGCATAGGGCACAGTTTAAATCAGGGCAGGTTACATAATTTACAGGGCTCAGTGAAAAATAGAAAAAGTAGGCCCTTTGCTTAAGAATTAAATATTTCAAGATGGTGACAACAGGACCCTTTCTGAGGGGCAGAAAGGGTATTATAGAAGTATAAGAGTGCCTAGGATGGAGAGTGATTTTAGATAGCTTCCTAGAAAAGATGAAAACAGGGCTGACCCTTGAGCATGAGGATATCTCCCATACATGGACCTCCCTCTGTTTTTCAGACCACAGGGTATTGTGGACAATCACTTACTCAGTCATTTTGACTTAAACAGTAATCACCAAGAACCTTCTGTTACCGTACATCCTACTTATCTCCCTCAGGAGCTGTGACACATACTGTGGTGGACATGGAGATGTGCTACCCAGATCTTCCTTCAAGGACTTGTTACCCCAGCTACTGCAAGTGCTGCTAGTGGTCAGCCTTCACCCACTGGCATTTCTGGGGGCACCCTACAGGCAACAACTGATCAAGGTGGAAGTATAAAGGCCTGGCCATTGGCAAGACAACCCTCATGGAACATCTTAGCTCTCAGTGGGGTCAGTTAAGTTTGTCCGGTCAGCATTCCAGCTCGATTTCTCCCTCTGCCCTCCTCTGCTTCTTCCCTCTTGATTCCACAAGTATTGGTCCCAAGGGCACTGTCTAATAAACATCCTGAACATTAAACTCAATCTGAGTCTATCTGAGAGAATCAAACTACAACACATATCAAAAAAGATTCCAGTGCTTTGGGAGGATTTTTATTTGAAAATTATTGGTTGTACACATTCTTATAACATTTATTTCTAAATCTCAAAATAGAATATACAATGGTGGAAAGGATTCTTCGTGTGTGAATGTGGTTACCCTGTGGTTTAAAATCCTCAGTTTGATAAACACATACATCACAGTTTCTGGAAATTAATCCATGAATTTATGGTGATTCTTGAGGAAACAGAACTATTTTTCAATCTCTACTTGTAAAATAATGTAGTTTTTAACTCCATTATTTTGGGAATAGAGGAATTTTTTTGACACTCATTTTCAATAAATGAACTTCTGAGAATTAGGTCATTTAGTGACTATCTAAAGTAGGTTGTCCGTAAATATGGCTTTTAGAACTTTCTTTTTTCCCCTCTTTAATTCCCGTCCTCCCCTCCCCGCCTTCCACCCCTGACCTATGGATGTTGCTGTTTCCCTTTAAGGACTGGACCTCTGAAGGCAGAGCGTCTCCTCCCACATGCTCGCGGGGTGCACCCCAGGGCCTGGTGCGCCTGGCCCACTTGGCACACTTGGGGGGCCTGGTGCGCCTGAGGGGCCTGGTCCATGGCTCCACCTGGGGAGCGAACCCAAGACGTTCTCTGTGTAAAGCAGATGTGCTAACTTCTCCCCTGTGGAGCCACCCCTAGAAGTTCTTGATTACTTTTTCACTTCCTTAGTTTTCTTCATTCCAAGTGAAAGATTCCTTTCCCTCTTCTTCCTTGTAGTCAGATATAAATTTGTCCATTCCCTGAACTACATTAGTGGAATTACAAGGAAGGTTTTTCTTGAGATATGGTATCCATAACATCATACAGTTTTTTAGGTAAGGTGTATCTTGAAAACCCCAACAGAATCAGTTATGGGATGTGACCTACATATTCAGGGGCTAAATCTGACACTTCAGGGCATCAGATTCTGAATGTCATTAAACTTTTCAGAATTAGATATGAAACAAATACTTAGGTTTGAGGAGAGGGGTTTCTACTATCTCCAAACCATTGGGGGCGGTGGGGGGTGGGGAAGACTTCTTTGATTTACATATGAAGTTAATTTGCTGATAAATTAACAGTTAACTCACCAAACTGTTACAATACTTAATAAATCTAAATCACTGCCTCACTGAATCGACTTAAGCTATTTCTTCACAAGTTAAGACACCAACCATCTATGATGTCATCAAAAGCATTTAGCATTAGACTGATTTTTATTTGTTTGCATCTCATTCATACTAATGGAGACTACAAAAATAAATAGTGCAGGAGGAAACTTTTGGAGGTGATGGATAAATTACAGCATAGATTGTGTTGGCTTCATGAGTGTATATTTATCTCCAAACTTAAAAATAAAGTTGTTTAAAAAGTAGAACCCAGAAAGTCTTTATAGTTCCTTATTTTTGTATTTATCCTAGAATTGGAGAGAGGGAGTGGGATTTATCTTGTTAAATTGGTTAGAGAAAATATAGACCTTGATCTCTCATATACTAAGAACTTCAAATGAGGCCATTTCCTATGAGCCACAAGACAACCCTTAAACACCCTCATATTTTAAGGAGAAATAACTTCCCAGATGCAGATCAGTCACTATTAGACAACTGAGCTACTGAATTTATTGATATTTGAAAAGAAAAACAGGCTAACTGTTTTTAGTTAACTTTTTTTGGTTAATTCAATTGTGACATATGACATGCAATCGAAAAGTGCAGCAAATAAGTGAAGAGCCCACCATCCTGGGCTCCAAATCATTTTAAGCACCCCCAGAAGTTCCCCCTTTATTTCTCTCAATTGCCACACCGTCCACCTTTCCAAGGTGAAGCACTGTTCTGACTTTGAACACTATAGTCATGACTATGTTTAAACTATATAAATAGAAATATTCTTTTGGGTCAGGCTTAAATTTGTGAGATTCACCTGTGTTGTTGATGTAGTTTAATTGCTTTCATTGCTGTGGAGTATTCTGTTACATCACAGTTCATTTTTCTTCTGCTGCTGCTGAGCATTTGGATTATTTCCAGTTTGGGGCTATTAGGAATTATGTTACTAGGAACATCTTTGAACGCATCTCTTGGAGCACATGTGTATATGTTTGGGGTAGAATTAATGGACCACAGGGTGTGCAGCTTGAGTAAATGCTGTCCAATTGTTATTGTTATTTTTTTAATATGCACTTTTTTATACACAGAGTAGTGTATGTTCCCACTGCTCCATTGGCACTTGATTGGTATTCTCAGCCTTTTTAATTTTAGCCTTCTAGTGGGTGTTTAGTGGTATCTCATTGTGGTTTTAATTTCCATTGCCCTGGTAACTAACAAGAGTGAGCACTTTTCCAGTTATGGGCCATTTGGATATTCTCTTTTGTGAAGTGCCTATTTAATTCTCTGTGTCCATTTCCCTAATTGGGCTGTTTTTCTTAATGAGTTTTAGGAGTTCTTTATGTTTTATGGTACTGGTTCTCAGACTTTAGTCTGCCATCAGCATCATCCCTCAGTGCTTGTTAAGACACAGATTATTGATCCCACCACCAGAGTTTCTGTAGATATGGAGTAAGACACAAGTTTCAGTAGATATAGAGTAAGACACAAGAATGTACACTTCTAATGGTTCTCAGGTGATGCTGATGCTGCTGGTCCAGGGGCCACACTTTGAGAACCAACGTCCCACAGTGTTTTGAATGTAGCAGCAATAGATGTTTCTTGTTAGTTTAGGGCAAAGTCACCTTCCTAAAAACAAAGACCTCAACTGTTTAATACTCTTCGAGTGTAGGGCATAAGCTTTCTCCTTGGAAATGGTGCAAAGGGGTTTGCTTCAATGCAACTATTTCAATCTATCTGAAATCCATCTATCTGTTTAGAATATATGGTACACCTAGTAGCTAATGGAACCAGTCGGTAATGGAAGATATTTTTTGAACTCAGGAAAACGCATTGGCTTTCAACAGCGAGAATGTGAGTCAGGAATCCCTCTAAGAACAAAAATACAGATCTCTTTGTGTAGATGAAAACTGTCATTTATTTCAATTGAATTTTGATCATTAAAAACAAAATTCTATGATGATGTTAAAACAGAAATAAAATACAAACATTTTTAATTGCCTTTAACCTTTAAAGACAACATAAACGCACACACACTCCAAATATTTTCGCTGTTTTAACAATCCTCATTATCACCAGTGTTGTCATTTCAGTCTTCTGAACTACTAACCTTGACTATTAAACAACCTACTGGTTTACTGGACTAAACATTACCCATATTATTTCTAAATATGAAGACTTCAATAGCTACATTCACTGTATTTTTATAATTTACTCTGTGTGTGCTTTTTAAGGCTTGATTCTATAAAACATCTGTTTCTCTATGCTGAGAGTCCAATACCCTGCTATATGAAGGTATGTATGTTAATATATGCAACTTGAGGGTAGTTGCACCTTATTCTGAGAGGTCATGAGAGTCTACTTAAAACCATGACAGTAAAACCTCTATAACTTAAACTCGACATACTATAGCCACCATCATCAAGAAAAACTAAAGACCCACAGGGAAATAAAGTACAGCAAGCCCTAGGAAATATTGTGGTTTGTTGATTTACTAATCAGAAAGGCCTAAACAAACTGCTATTAGTGGTTAGGAGGAAACTAACCTAGGTACGCTCATAAAAGAGAACCTTCTGGATGCATCCTAAGAACATACTATGTAATTACAGTCAATGTTTGCAATGATTTTTGGTTTTTCTCACCAACTCAGGAGTGCCTATATATGCAATTTAGAAAGGATTTTAATAAAGGCTAAACCAAAAGGCTTATAGTCAACAGAGGGGTAGCCATCAGTAAACCAGAAATCCAAATAGAACATTACTATATTTTTAGGGATTACTGTTAGCGGATTGGCCTTTTTTTGAAAATATCACCACGCTCAGTCTAAAACTGCAATGGCTCCCATGCCAAAGTCACACAAATCTAAAAGACGATAGGCGATTGCACTTGTTGCCTCATTATTAAATCACCTATAATGGCTCCTATTTTGAGAAAGCATTTTTTTCTCTTCCTTTTCTTTTAGAACATATAATTAAATTGTCTTTCTATATTCTAACTATATATCTTTTTTGGGGTGGGGGTGGGGTGTTGAGTAGCCTCTCCCTACCATAATGCCACTTATACTAAAGTATAATTTTTTTGTTTTTCCTATTAATTTTATGTGTACTATTTTAACCAGAGGCCTGTGGGAGGAAATAATGGATCCTAGTTATGTTATATAAAGTGGTGAGACAAAATGGCAACCTCACACAATTTTCAAGTAAATAGAATCTCTGATAAAAATGGAAAGTAATTTGTAATTTAGGGCTAGTAAAAAAAAATCTATTACAACTTTGCCTCATACCTTACAAAATGAGCTTTTGTTCCAGAGTCTTTTAAGGCACAAACCTGGTAGACAGCTTTAATTGGTGGCCTGCACCTCTGATTTGGATAAAGAAAAAAATACTATAACATATAAATATAAATAAAAATAAAAAGTAATTTTGGTAGAGCTTAAAATCATTGGGTGAAGTTGGAGGAGAAAATTCCAAACAAACTAACATCATGTGTATGTAAATAACTTGCTGCTAGTGTAAAAAAAAATAGAGTATAGTTTACACGGTGCAAACACTATTGGAAAAATGTCTTCGAAATAAGACTTGACATCGTAGCAGAATCACAGTGCAGTCTCAAAAATAGTTAAGGCTGAGGGCTGTCCATTGGAAGTGTTCGTAGCCACATGGCCATTCTGAGTAATATCTGGATAATTCCTTTTGAAGTACACCTGTTAAGAAAAAAAAAAAGATGGGCATAAAAAGATTTAAACTCCTCCACCCCAACGCAATGCATTTCAATGTCTACTTTTTCATGTAAAGCAAATCATATCATTAGTGGAGGCACAATTAGAAAAAGAAAACAGGGATGTATTCATTTATTCCATTACAAAAGTCGCCCCATTAAAAGCTTCCATGGGGCTGGGTTTAGTGCCAGACAACCTGTAGATCCACTTTAATTCCGATCATTCTGATTTACAGATATGTTTTATCACTACATTAAATTGATAAGCAAAATCATTTTACTGACTCAAAACCTGGAGATAAATTAAAAACAGGGTGACAAAGAGGCTGGGACATCTAGCGTCTGCATGAGGGTTTCTCATTTTCACACATAAAATGAGCACAATAGATTTGGATGTTAATATCAGGTTGTAATCCCTATATTTTATAAACTCTGACTGACAAGCATTGAAACGCAGGCGTATATGTATGAAATGTCCCAGCATTTAATTTGTGCAGCAAAGCAGTTATAGAGCCTATAGAAATGTGATCTGTGGATAGTGGGCCACAATAATGAAAAGAGAAGCAAAAGCTTTAACAATGACTCAACCAAGCAACTTCTCTAAAATGTAAGATGATACCAAATAATAGGGCAGTTCTTTGCCAAGCCTTTGAGTTCCTGAATTCTACCAATTTCTAGCTGAACTAGAAGAGATACAGGTTTTCTGATAAATGTATAATCAGAACATAAAGGAAATGAAATGCTGTCAAGTTTCTCTGTTCCACAATCATCAGTTTTTAGTAGCTGTATCGTATCTCGGTTCCTTGACAGATGCGCATAACAAAATGATATAATGTCAAGACTTGTGAGCTCTTATCACAAAATGTGTTTGGGTGAAAAAGGAGTTTAAATGTAATTTTTTTTTTTCAAAGAAGAATGTGAAAAGTTTTGTTTGATTCTTTAAAACAGAAAATGTACCATCTATCTAATGCTGACATGTGTCATGAGCTGACACGTGTCATGGATCTATAAAATGGATTTTATAAAATCTGGCTCCAAATATATTTGTGGATGCTGTCAACAAAGTTATCATGGGATATAATGGACTTCACATACGAACAAGAAAAGCACCGAGACAGCCGCCTTCGTATTAAGTGTACCTTTTCTCTTGTTACTTGCATACTTGCTATTCCAAAAACAACATTATATATGAAATACTATATATCACTTAAGGAGAAAAATAAGAAATTCTTTAATAAAGCTTGGACCCCACTGGGTGGAATCCGAGGCTATTTCCATTACAATGGTAGTATATAAAAATAAGGCCTGTATTGGGGCTAATTTCATTTCATCTCCCTCCATTTTTAAAGGTAGCCATATTTTATGTGGTTATGTACTTATATACTCCAAAAAACCTATTTCTTGATGAAACTAAAAACAGTCAAAAGAACAACTGGAAATACATTTTATTTTTTACTACTTGATAGTCCTCCCTGAAATAAGCCAGTTCCTTTCCTTATAAGCCTCAGTGTAATTTGTTTTATAAAGAAACTGTTATTAGCAACTTTTAACTAAACTAGTCTTAGTTTCATTGTTTGAAATACTTGAAACTGAAAACATGCTTCCTGTGTATAAACTCCTTGATTTGACCTTTCTTTTTCTCATCTATTGCCAGGTTTTATAATATACCCTGTCTAACAGTAGAAGTGTGAGAAGGCATCTTTTTCATAATGCAGATTATGAAGGTACTTGAGATGACTGAACACTTTTGAGCGGAGTCCTTGTGTACAGGCCAAGCACTAACCTTAGGCCATACATACAGTTCAGTGAGAATGAACGGACAAAGTCTTGAGCCAGAATTCAACATATTGGTCAATGCCTTCTGAATACAGTGCAAATAAATGTTCACCATTATCCATGCAGGGAAGTTTTTATTGCTCTATTGCATGTAATAAGATCTAATTCCATGATGGTAGCTTTATTGAGAAGCTAGAATTTAAATACTCAACTTAGTTTCAACCTGTTTTAGAGAAATTATAATGAACTCTATGGGATGGAGAAGTCCAATCTCAGCTCTCTCTCCCGGGACTCACTGCTGATGCTGGAAAAATCACTTAACCTCTCTCCAATACTGGCTGCCTCATTTGTGAAATGAGACAATGACTTAACTCATAGGAACTAATTAATGGCTATAAACTACATGTTGAAAACACGCCAAGTTAAGTGTTAGGTGTGGTTATGATGCTGCTCAGAGAAGTGGCCCCTTAGTCCATAGAAAGTAGTAGCATTACCCAGTGTGAATGATGAAAACAAAACATCTGAGAGGCCCTTTTGATTTTATCTTTACAGAACCCCAGAGTCATAGTGAAGACACCTTTAATTCAGTGAATACGGTAACACGGGAGGCAGAATAGTAGTTAAAAGATTACATAAGTTGGAGTACTAACACTAACTGGTGACTTTGAGCAATTACTTTGGCTCTTCTGCCTTGGTTTCTCCATTTGTCAAAAAGGGATAATGCCAACTCAGAATGGTAGTGAAGATCAAAGGAGACAATGCCATAATAGTTCAATTTCAGGGCATGTTCCTCTTCCCCACCTTCTCTTGGGTTTAGGCCATTATAATTTGTTTAAGGTGAGATACAAAAATAAACCCATCTTTGATGAAATCAGGAGTCATCTAAATCTCAAATGGCAAAATATCTGGAAGGGCTGCCATATGCAACTGGATCCAATGGGGCTGTAGCAAGACAGCAATCAGGGACAGTACAGTTCTCCAACTCTGGCAAATTCTAAGGTATGTCAACGAGAAATCATATAGAATTACCATCTTTCCTGAAGTGTGTATATTTGTGAGGTCCTAAGAGAAGAGAGATTCTAAAATGCAAGTAGCATTGTAACATCCCATCTCTGCAGGATACAGAGGAGTGCAGGCTAAATAAATATAAATTCTCAAATTTTCTCTCTCTTATACACATACACACACATATTCTTTCTCTGGGTCATAAGGAGCTTCTATATTAAATACAAAGAATTCCCTTTAGCCTGAAATGATATCCTAGCCACAACGATTCTGACAGACAATTGGTCTAGGGAAAACTCACTTAATTCAGTAGTAGGAATAATAATAACAACGACAACGACAACAACAACAACAACAACAACAACAACAACAATAATGTAGTCAGGATCTTTAAAATACACCAAAAAAAGTGAGAAAAAGGAACAGGATAAGTACATGATGAATGAATATTCACTGAACAGGTGAAAATTATGAAAAAATATAATGCAATACATTCAAAGAAAATGTAGTAGAATAGTCAACCCATGGACAATGGAGATCTGACAGTATAGGAAAACATGATACAGCAACAGAAGATAACCATGAGTTGACAGAGGCCAAGGGTGAAATGGAAGAGAAAAATGAAAACATCAAAGAAATGACAGTCCTATTAATGGCAGCACAAAGTAGATTATACACTGCTGAAAAATCAGAATGAAAAAACATGGAGGACAGGATTAGGAAAGCAAGCAAAATAAGTGTAAATTAAAAGATCGAGTTGAAAGTAGCTTTATAAAATAGACAAAAGACAGACAACATATACAGGATAAAGAGGAGAATCCAATAAAAAAAAAATTCGAAGATACAATTCAACTAAACTTCCAAAAATAAAAGAAGACTTGAATCTAGAGATCAAAGAGTATATGATATCCTATGAAAAACTAATTACTTTCAAAATTGAGGGGGAAAAATATTCCTTTGGGCATCCCAGAAAGATTGTTATGTCTAACTTGGCCTTAGACTTATCCATATGAATAAATCATGCCAAAACACTTTAGAGCGAAGATAACACATTACGTGAAAGAAAGAGTGACCTCAAAATTTTATAACCAGAAAATTTAGAGATGTAGCAGACAAATATTTCATATATATGGTAAGTCAAGGATTCTAATTCCAATGAATCCTCTTTTAAGATAATATAGAACATGGTTTTCCAACCTTCTCTTTTTACTGCCACCCATAATACTAACTACATTTCACTTTACATTGCAAGTCAGTATAGATTTACTATCTATATTTACCTGTACTTAAAGGAGTTTCATGAGACATTTACTATTACTGTGAAAGATACATTGTTATTTTTCTTCTATTCTATTCTTTTCTATTTCATTTCTTCAAATTCCCTGATCATGACTGACTAAATGGATTTCACAGCCCCACTTATGGATCACAACACAAAGTTTAGCCAACTAAGAGATGGAGACACTATAAATGAAAACAAGTAGAATAATAGAGGCTTAAATATTTTTAAAGATTTGAAGGTAAACAGTAGAAGGAAAACTACTGAAAACAATTAAAATTTGGTGGTGGAACAAAGAGAGGGCAAATATGTTGTTGTTTATAATGAGTCAAATAATAATAAAGAAAAAACATATTCCTAGAAGAAATGAAAGGAACATACATAAAGCAATGAGCAAAAAACCCAAAAATTACAGGCTACGAATTAAAAGGTTAAAAAAAACCCACTAAAAACTGAAAGCATGACATGACACAACTAAAATAGAACAAATCTGTAATCTCAATAAATATAAATAAATTAAATACATTTGTTTAAAAAAGGGCTAAGATTAAATCTCAGAGCTAAGCTTAACTAAATGCCATTTATGAGAGACACATCTTTAGTCTGACATTAGAAGACAATCCAAGACATACCTAACAAATGAAAAAAAAGGGAAAGCAGGGGACTCAATTTTAGTTTTGACCCAGCATGGACTTAGAGTCTATAGCATTAAATGAATCAAAGGAAAGCACCTTAAAATAGTAGAGAATAGAATTCATAGTGAAAGCATAAGACATGACTATCTGTGGACAGAAAAATCATAGCATCAAAATTATCAAAACAAAAATGACAAGAACTACAAAGTAGAACTTGTTATGATATATACTAATTCATTTCTCTAAACCAAGCCATATCAAATGGATCAAAATAAATAAAGATAGAGAGGACCTAAGTAATGTAATTAATGAAGTAGATCTAATTAAAAGTTATTGAACTCTATACTTTAATAGACAATAGTCCATCTTTTTAAATGCTGAAAGAATAACAAAAAAAAATTGCCTGTATTAATAAGTACTGCTTCTGAGTGTTAACAGTACAGGCGACATTTTTTGATCACAAGGCAATGAAAGTCAACAGTGAGGTGTAAAACAGAAAACAAACAAACCCATATTACCAGGAAGTTTTAAAAACTTCCTTTTAGAATAATTCTTGGGCCAAAGAGGAAATCAAAAGCAAAACTGCAAAATCTATATATAAAAACTTAACTATGACAAAAATACTACACACCAAAATCTATAAGATATAGCTAGAACAATAGTCAGAGAAAAGTTCACAGCCTTAAAATATTTATATTAATAAACAAAGAAAGAAAAGAAAGAAAACAAATGCATTCGAGAGGAAGCCACAACAAAATAAACCAAAGAAAGAAGGAATTAATAAAGATAAAAGCAGAAACTGATATACTGTAAAACAGAATACAAGAATTAGTAAGTAAATCTGAGAGCTCTTTCTTTGAGGGAAAAACATAAAATTCTAACCACTAACTTAATTAGAAGAGAAAATGGGGAGTAGGGCATGGAGAACACATTAATACTAAGTAGCTATTGAAAAGAGTGAGATAACTATAAGCATTGATATAATCCGATATGTAATATTAAGTGAAAAAAAATAAGGAATAGCCATAAAGGCCATATATGTACAAGTTCTTGTTGCACAGAATATATCAACTGAACAGTCAAAAATGGGAAAGATACTACAGGAGTGGTACAGTGACTTCCTTTTTATTTATAAATTAAAAAAAAACTATTAAAAACAGTACAGTTGTTGACTTTTGTAGCATTAAATGTATTATTTGTTAAAAACCATTGAAATAAATTTTATTTATTTATTAGTAGCTAAGTCTTTTGTAGCATTAAATGTATTATTTGTTAAAAACCATTGAAATAAATTTTATTTATTTATTAGTAGCTAAGTCTCTAAAGCTACTTAGAACTTTAGATACTTTTTTGGTTATTCAGAAGAAAGAATTCAATTGATAGCCTTTTAAAAAATCCAACTTTTATCAGCAATAGGTAGAATTTTTTTTTTATATTTGTGAAATGCTCTATATCCTTCAAAGCACTTAAGCATATACTCTCTCATCTGATCCTTGTAACAACAGTGTAAAGAAGCTGAGTAGTGCTGTAGTGCCTGCACTACAGGTAAGGACTCTGAGACCGAGAGACCTTGGGTGACATGTAAGTCCATGTGGCTGCTAAGTGCTTCTTCCACCTATTGGAAATGGTGCAGGCTCCTAGAATCTAGGATATTAAGATTTTGTAATTTTTGGGTTGCATCTGGTAATTTCACGAATAGATGAAACAGCACCTCTGTTATGCATGTGGAACAAAGCAACTTCTAAAACCTCAATTAAGTTTGCTTCATCATGGAGTAGAATGAATAATGGGCATTTATCCTTTGTTACGGGCTGAATTGTGTACCTCAAAATTTATATGTAGAAGTACTAACCCTCTAATACTTCAGAATGTAATTGGATTTAGAGATAGGGTCAGTCAAGTTAAAATGAGGTCATATGGTGGACCTTGATCTAATATGACTGGTGTCCTTATAAGAGAACATTAGGATACAGACATACACAGAGGGAGGACCATGTGAAGACAAAGAGAGAGGAGGTGGCTATTTATAAGCCAAGAAGAGAGGCCTTAGAGGAAACCAGTCCTGCCCACACCTTGAGCTCAGAATTCTAGCCTCCAGAACTATGAGGCGATAAATTTGTCATTTAAGCCACCAATTCTGTGGAACTTCGTTATGGCAACCATAGCAATTAATGTACTCTTCAACTTTATGTCTCTAAAAAGTACTTTCTCTACTATTTCATGGATCATCTAAAACGGTCAATTGCAGAGTGACTCAGCTAGCCTGCACCAACATTATCAGAAAAGCAACTACATGGTCAAGAAAACGTGACTTGGAAGTACCTCTTCCCGGATGTTTTCTTTTCAAACGAATGAATTTTAATCTGTTAGAGTAAAAAGCTTGTTGACTTAGCTAATCCTCCCAGTGTTACAGTTTTGAATGATGCACTGATATCTATCGGATGCTTGCACATTTAAAATTTGACAATCTGACAATTTGTTCTCCTAAGAGCACTAAGTGTATACAGAAATAATGTCAAAAAGATCTTCAGCCGGAATGAGAATAGAGATATGTATTCCCTTATGACTTTCCATAGGGGTGACCTAGGCCTCTGGTAGGATCAAAATCCAAGAGTGATGATCTGCCACTGTGTAAACTTAAGGGACTGGCCCCACTGTGAACACCACATGAAATAAGGAGCAGCAGTACGTAGTACGTGAACACCACATGAAACAAGGACACAGTACGTAGTACCTAGGGTGGCACCCAGCAATTCATTTTCTGCTCTCCATTGACCAGCTCTGTGACCTTAGGTGAGCCCTTGATCCAATCTCTTCATCATCCATAAAGGGGGATAAAAAAGAACTACCACGAGGATTAAGTGAAATCATATATGTGACAACCATGTAAGATAAATTATAAAGAACTACACAAATGTAATTTACCACTAATATTGTTAAATTAGGTACAAGATTACTGGACCAGGAAATCATGAAGATTCCTAATTCTATGACCTATGTGCTTTTTATGTGTATTTAAAATATTACACAATTCAATTTACAGTTAAAATATGAGAAATACAAAAATATATAAAAAGGGAAAACATGCCCATAATTATAATGCCCAGATATAAACAGTTTTGATGCGGAGCCTCACCACATACTGTTGGAGGTCTCATTCCACCTATGCCATGCCTCTCCAGTGGCAAGAACGCCAGACTTTCCTTCTTTCCCTCCATCTTTCCATCAATCTAACTCTCATTTTGTTCCAGAAAGAATAACAGGTAGCTGCACGACACTGGCTAAGTCCCTTAAACCTGACCTCAGTTTGCACATCTGTAGAATAAGATACTCCATCACCACTGTTTTAAGATATCATATAATCTAAATGTTATTAATTGAGCACCTTTCTCATTCCATACAGTGTTAAATTCTCATACATCATCTCCATGAAAATGCTTTGTAACTTTCAAGCACCTTCACACTATAACATTAAGGTATTATTAATTCTCGATTTGTCCTGATGACAATTTTATCTTCTAGACGGCAGATAAAGCATAGAGGGAATAAGTGTACCTAATTCTAAACAACAGAGAATTAGGGGGAAACCTACGGAGAAAGTCGCAGCATCATGTAGGTGTTTTCCTTACAAATTATAAAACAGAAAACAAAAAGAATCTACACATTTCCCTGGTAGATCTTCCTAGACTCAATGAACAACATTCTACATTTTTTCCCTCAAACTCTCAAATTTCCTGGATGTACCTTGACAGCATTTGCATCTCAAATGTGCTGAGCACCAATCAGAATGAAATCCAATGGATCTGCAAAATGCGAGTATTCTGCGCTCTACGAGACTCTGAGCACATAGAGTACAAATGTATGAAAAGTCCAATCTGAAATCTCTTAGGCACACATGCTTGCACACGTGAGCATGAACACATCCTACACCCCACCCCACCACGTCTGCTGATTTTTAGCAGACCTGACTTCAGCCTGGGACGTGTTGTTAAGACCCAGTCGTGAAGCTTTGTGTCTGGAGGTTTGTAATTGAAAAGGGCACAGAGTGCTTGTTACCATTTCCCTGGAGCCAGGTTGTGAGGAGCGAGCTGTTGAGATGAACTTTAATTATAACTCTTTGTGGCGCGCTCACCTGTTTTGCTATTTCAGTGAGGGCAGCAGCTTCTGCCTTGCCCAGTTGTTGCACCATCTTGTAAAATAGGCTGTCTTTATTTTGCAGCAAAACATATGGCTCATCATATTCTTTCAGTCTTCCTGAATCCAAAACCTGTTAATCAGCAGAAGGAAACCCATTAGCACACAATGTTCTGCAGTAACATATTATAACTCAGACAATATTTTGGAAAGGGGCGGAAGAGGGAGAATAGAGAGACTCTATTTGGGTGGTAGTCCTGGCTGGTGTTTAAATGGTTTGATTACCCTGTTTTACTAGGCAGACAAAGGCCTAACCCGACCTTTTATTATTATAATGTTATAGGAAAGGAAGAAAACGAAAGTTTTAAACTATGATTATGGGCACTCAGCAGTCCTGCGGTATTTTATATTCTGCCAAGGGCATTCTGCGTTGTTATAATTCATTAGTGCTTTAGCTCTCAGACTCTGAGCTTTGAAGACTATTTATACATACGTTCAGAGTTGGGAAATTTCTTGATTTAAGAAAATCAAACCTAATTTATCTAAAAAGTAGGAGGATGTCATACAAACCAGATGGCAGTAACCTGACAGCAAATTAGTTACTGAGCTCGTTTGACAGAATAGCAATATTTAGAAAAGAAGTAAACGCTTCTGAAATTTCTTAAGAGTCCTAGATTATGTCACCTGGTAAGAGGGACAATATCCTTGTCAGAGAGATTAAGGTGCATCTTGAAGTTGGCTTTGGTTATAGTTTATTATTCTGAGAGTGAAAGGCTACCCAAAAGAGTTGCTACCTAAGCAGCTTTAGCATAATTGTTCTGCACTGAAGAAATCTCTAGAAAACCAATTTTCTCTTTGGATAAGACTAAAGAAACAATTAAGAAACTGAGCTCCAAATTCCAGTGATCACAGCCCGCACAGCATACGGGCAGCCCAATCTGAATCGCTGAGGATCTGAATATCTGTTTTCACAATTATCTTTCCTTGCTTCTTTTTCTCTCTTCAGCTGCCTGCCTTCCAGCCTTTTTATTGCTCATTAATATGTCCACTGGAAATTGAAAGGGAGAGAAAGGGGCTCTTAACTCTGCATTTCTACTTATTAGTGGCTTCGGAGGGAGAAAAAAAAAGTCTGAAACAATTGGCTTAAATGATGTACCTAGGCAAACAGTTCTGATATTAAGTGGTACTTAGTTCTTCATTTAGGCCATATTTACAGTAAATTTATCTTAACAGAATATGCTGAAAATCTAAGCAGGACACAGGTTGTTTTTCCACATCTAGGTATTACAGTTAATTCTGTCCCCTGGTATTGAATTGGAAACATTTATTAAGTCTTTTATAGAGAGCATTTACATGTTAATCTTTTGTTTACTACTATGAATCACTGCTAAGGGCAGCTTTCTCAAAAGAGTTGAAGAATAATTGAATCTGTCATATCCACATAATAATTAAAATGTCCTATAATTTGGCATGACAATTTAGATGCCCCAAATGTGTAATTTTACTTAAGCATAGCATTATAAAGCACAAGCACTCCTGATGGTGAAGAAGAAAAAAAAAATGCGATTTTAAAATATAGGTCTTTCTCATGCTAAAGGCTAAGTAAATAAGTGAATCAAATTACTTCATACAATGAAAAACTTTATATTCTGCAAAAGCAACAAGTAAATTTTTTAAAATCACCACTTCAGAGTTAGTGAAAAAGGGGTTCTCTGACTATAAAGCCTTTACATAATTTTTAATGGAAGTATTACTAATAGTTTGTCCTTGTCCAACTTTTTATTTATTCGAATTTGAATGAATAGTAAATCTTCCCATTTTCTCACATATTGTCTGAAAACACATGAATGCCACTGAGATGAGAAGTTCTCAGAATTGACTGGAATCTGAAAAAGCAGAGCCAGGAAAAAATGAATGCTCTTAAAAAACAATAGGATAAACAATATAAATGACAGAAATATTATTTTGGTCAAAATATTTTGAGCCTTATATGTATTAGTAATTTAATACTTATGCATTAAATTTTATAAGGGGAGTTTTCAATTTGAGGTGTGTGAGACAGAACTGTGATGATTTGTTACATTGCTTGATAATTTATTAGAAGTTAAATTTTAACTTATGTAAGATAACTTTAAAATGCAAAATAAATATATCTCTTTAATACTCTTGTGACATGCATTAAAATAAAATACGGTATCTTAAAATGAACTACATTAGTATAGCCCCAAATAAATGAATTTACAAGGTTTGAGAGATGAGATGCCTTGACATACAAATGCCATGTAACAAAGAGTATAGCTACTATAAGATCAACAAAATCACCCCATAGTGAAAATAACAGTCTTCTGAATTTGAAAAGGAAAATAAAAATAGTTATGTTGAGCACTCACTCTGCCACATGCTTTATAGTCATCGCTGTTAATCCTCAAGATAGAGTAGACAAACACAGTACATAATATCCATCCATCTATCCATCCATCCATCCATCCATCCATCCATCCATCCATCCATCCATCCATCCATCCAACTAGTACTATTACCAAAGCACCATTCTAAGGATGGGAGATTCAAAGATGAGCAAGATAGCTATCCATCCATCCATCCATCCATCCATCCATCCATCCATCCATCCATCCATCCAACTAGTAAGTATTAAGTTAGTACCTATTACCAAAGCACCATTCTAAGGATGGGAGATTCAAAGATGAGCAAGATAGAGTCTAACGAGAAGCTCAGAGCCAGAGATGAAGACTGAGGTACAGTTAAGTTAAATAACTTGGCCAAGGCTGTAGAATCAGTAGATGGAAGAGCTGGGATTCGACCTCAGGTCTGAACCTGTAATCTTTCCTCTCCATGTGAGTACCCAGAAGAAGACACTGTTTATTATCAGAAGGAAAATAAGGGAGATGAGAACTTTAACATTCAATTTTTTAAGATACCTTTCCATATGGATAACTTATATTAACTTTGTATAATTTAAGAGAATATGCCTATAAACAGAAACATTTCCCCTATCTGCTGTCCACTGCAATTTTATTATACTCAGGCTAAAATTATTTACTGTGTCTGGTATATAGTCACAGAAAAAGAAAACCAATTTTATTAAACTATCAGGATTAATAAAGAGCAAGTAACACATGGCCAAAACACATTTGAGGAAAATTTAAGAAAACTTTCATTAATTCTTGAATTTATTCAGCTAACGTTTACTGCATACTTAACTACATTCATGTCATTATGCTAGATGCTGTGGAAAGGGCAGAGGTATGTAAGTCCTAGCCCCTGCCTTTAAAGGAGCCTATACCAAAGGACAGAGAAAAAAATCAAGTGTCTATAATGCAAGAAAAAAAGCCCAACAAAGAGGAAGTTAGCAGTAGAAGAGATGACTTCTGGCCAGAGGTTCTGAGGATGAACTTCAAGGAGAGTGAGCAGTGAACTGGGCCTTGAAGGTGGATAGACTTGAACATATAGAAATGGGGAGGGTGGGTGGATAGTGGTCATTCCAGATACAGGGAACAACATGGGCCAAGAAGACAACATAGGCCAACATGGAAGTGAGCTTGTCATCTCCTTAAGGGTAGGGTTATGTGGCACCTCCAGGTCTTGGCATTATATGTGACACATAACAGGCACCCAAAACATGCTGGCTGAAGGTTAAATACAAAAGAAACTAAAGTCAGGGCATGACTGGGTGACTGCCCACTGGCATAGTCTGGCAAGATGACAGGGTAAGATCAAGGGGAGAAAGAGTTAAGCTGGCTAAGATTAGGGATTAGAGGATGAGTGATACAGACTTGAAGGACCACGTGCCTCAGGTTGATGGCTGTGGGCAAGAGGGAGAGGAAAAGTGAGGGAGAGACAGACCAGGGTAGGGGATGGAGGCTTGAAACTCATTTATACCAAACATTGGAAAAGAGGAAAAAGAGAAGGCGCAGTCGGAGAGGAATCAGTCCCGGGAGGAGCAAGAGCGCAGTGCTGCAGACTCAGTCGCCGGGTGCTACAAGAGCTGCGCTGGGATGTGGACTGAAAAAAAGGTGAGGAATAGCATTTTAACCGCTTAGCCTGCACATTTACTGGTTTGACCAAAAAGTCTATTTGTTTTTTTTTTTCTTCCAGACAAATTGTTCTTTATTGTGGGAGATGTGGCAACTTCAAGGAAGGTTAACAGCCCAGCGGGGCACAACCCCAGCCAGCTGGCAGTCAGGGTTGGTCTGGGTGCCACCTGCCCCATTTTCCATCTCTCTCAGTCTGTCAATCGACAGATTCTGCATTGAACCTGAGGTCAAAATGTCTAGATTTTTAAGAACAAGTAAACATAAAGCGACTCCCAATTTTCCTTTCATACATATCAGTGGGTATAATCTTGAATTTTTATTTTAGTATCTTTTTATCTATAAGAAAAGCCTCCTGGAATCTCCTGCTGTGCCCCAACTTTTCCTATAATCCATGTTAAACTAGGAACTAAACCACACATTCGAGTCGGAGTGAGAGCATTCCCTCGGCCCCAGGATCTCTCCAGGAATGTCACCCCCTCAAAGCTTGCCGCTCTCTAGTAGGTTAAGGAAAAATACACTACGTTGAATAATAAGTCAGTCAGTTACATAAGCTCAATGAAGATGTGCTTATCAGGCCTGTGTATCTGCAAACAATCCGGGTAGTTGTCCTAGATATAAAAATTAAATGGACCTATTACAAAATAATTTAATCCATTTTAATTGCCAGGATGCCATCAGTGACAGTGGGGTGGCTGCAGGGAGAGGTGGGGACAGTTCAGGGTGGAGGTAAAGAGATGCCTGGAACAGCTTTCAATATGGTGACCAGCAATAAAGGGAGATTCCACTGAACATTAAGTAGAGTGGGGAGGAGCAAGATCTGTGTTTCAGATGTCTGCTTTCGGCTGCCAGGTGACAGAGGGGCACAGGAACAGTTATCCAACCTTGGAAGCCAGGTCTCTCGATTGGTAAAATGGGTGCCTGCGATTTTCTCTGTGGCAAAAATTACTCAAAATCCTTTCTTAGGTCTTGAAGTGGTAAATCATTCTTCTCATCTGGGTGGATGAAGACTAGGTCACAGTGACCTCCACAGCTGCTCCCCCAAAGCTCCTGCTATTGTAAGTCTGTAACCCCCCTCCCGCGCCCGTAAAGTATTTCTTCTTCCAAATTGTGCTATCTTCATATTAGTTTTTTTCTCCCTCTGAAAATATGAATGAAATCTCTTGGCCTATTTTTGAAGGAGCTTTTCTCAAATACTCTAATTGTGGCTATGTAGGCTTATTAAAGGAAAGTTCCATGACGATTAAAACTAGAATTTAAATAAAACTAGTTAGCCCTGAGTTCTTTTTGTGCTTTTCTGTGTGGAATGTTAAAATAGTTTCTAGTTTTGATTTCTCTGGGAAAAACTCTACTAAAAAGATATTTGAGTTTAGGAAGAAAGGTAAAGATTATAAAACCATAAGGATAAAACAGAAGAAGTGGAATCTGAGTTTCTTAGCCTTGGTTACGGGTCTCCAGAATTCATTCCCAAAGAATTCTCTAACTGCTGACAGTGAAAGCACTGAAAACAGGAAATAATGTTGTTAGCAGCTGCAGATTTTCACATGCTTCTTTTGCTCCACTACTAGGGAGAATCCGGGGTGTTATAAACTCGAGTGTGCAGGGATTGGAGGAAAAAGCTGTGCCATTGGCTGGAAACAGGTCACAAGTAACCAGTTAATCCTAAAAACTACAGGGAAGAAGCTGTCTTTAATGCAGAGATATGGTGAGTATTAGGCAAAAGAGGATTTCTAAAGCGTCTGTCTTACTCCACTGTTTTGTAGCAACTGAGCGAATGAGGAAGATTAAATTAGCTGTCATTACAACTACATCATGTTTAATAAAGTTAAAATTGAGAGAACATCTTTGTAAAATAGAATTCTAAGCCTAACACATTAATGACACTTAATGAACCAAAACTGGGTAAATCCCTTTGGAGAGCCAGCACATAAACAAAGCTATTAATTAGGTCACAGTTGTTTCCCAACAAGGCTTTTGTTTGATTTACTTACAGTAAACAAAACCATATTCATCCGTCTTTGTGCAGAAGTATTCACCAGTGCAACAAAATGTAATTATTACACCTTAAGCATTTGCAATTACACGACTTTATGATGACAACACTGTTGGTTATGCCCTTCATTAGCATCCGTCACTTCCCCAGCCACTCCCTAGGCTGGCCACTCGCCCTCTGGAGCATTAGGCTTTGTGGCTGATTGACTTGTCTTTATGTCCTTAAAGCTTTCAGAATAACAGAATAGACAAATCACTTGTTTTCTGCAAAGGAAACAGGTATTTCTATAGCAAGCAAGGAAAAAAAATTGCTTCAAAAATCAAAGGTTTGAGAAAGAACATTATTTACGGTGTTTTGCCAAATTGAAAGCCATTTGGTTATCAGAAGCTCTAGAATAAAATATGAAGTTTACACCTGGGGTATAACTCAACTCTGAAGCTAGGAAATGTATTATGTCTCTTGAGTGCCCTGAGATCTAATCCTGCCATTCTCTATAAAGATGTCAGCAACAGAAACCAGCTCTGACCGAGATGTAAATAAGTGGCCAAGTTTACATCTCTTGGTGGGACCTTCCTGTGACATCACCGTAGGACATCTCCAGGGTGTCCTACAATGAAGGTCTTTCACGACTGGGTGGGGTTGGGAGCGGGAAGGGTAGCTCCATGGTGAAATGCAAGGTCTACCACAAAAAACAAGGTCAGTCATCGCAAAGGTAACATGCTCTAAAGAGAACCTTTGCATTTTCCTTCTCCCAATCAACTTCTCCCTCAGTCTTCCCCATTCATCCAGATGCTCTGATCCTACACCTAGAAGCCAGCACTGACTCCTCTCTCTCCCCTCATATCCCACATTCAATCCAACACATAGTCTGCTTGGCTCTACTTGGTTATCTACCCCAAGTCCAATCATCTCACCATATCCACAGCTAGCACTTCAGTCTAAGCCACCAACATCTGGCGAGAGAGAGGGCACAACTGGAAAAGCGAGAGTGAATATTGGAAAACTGAGAGATTATCAATGTAGTTTTAACTATAAAGGAAAGGGTAAGAGCAAAGTGGAACAAGGCTAGAATGGCGGGAGAGGCTGGGCTATAAATTACGTTGTAAAATCATGTTAAGGATTTGAACAAAGAAACTGATCAGGAGAGAAAAATTTGAGGCTCTCAAAATTTACTAGAAGATGCTGGTTAAGTATAGCATTAAACGAATGAATACATTCTGATAATGGCAACAAAACTGGTTAAGAGGATACTCATGAACTAGATGTTTGGGTCTGTGGGTCAAGTGCTGATGGATAAGATTTAGGAGTAATTAGTTAACAAGTCTGCCAAATTCTGTCTTTCCTTGCTGTTTCCCCAACTGACCATACATTCCAAGGGAACAGTATTTCTAAGTATTATATCATAAAAGGAAGCTTCTACCATCAATATTGTAATATCAAATACCAAAAATAAATCTATATGGTACATTTAGGAGCAAAGATTTTTTTTTGACGACACCTCCAACTAGGCTGGAGATGAAGCCGTCTTTCTGCTGCTGCGTCTAAAGCCTGACAAAATGCTTGAAACAGGTAAACTTCATAGCAGCACTTATTTATTGGAAACAGTCTGCAAAATACAATGCTAGAGATGAGAACAACAAAGTGATAGGTAAAAAGTAGGAATGAAAGGTTATTTTCCAATTACCATTCAAGAACACAAAATGAAGGACAAAGGATGCTTGATGCTAAACAAGGTTTCTGAAGTCTAATAAGAGTCACTGTCCTATAATCTTGGAATGTCACAAGGTCATTCACAAAAGTTTGCTGGAATGGCCTGCTTCTTGCTGCAATGTTCTAGTCCAGATGTCTAGCAGCACTGGGGAGTGACAAGGCTAAAGGCGCTGCTTCAATGCTGACAGTCTGGTATCTTCTCAATGTGATGATCCCACCTGATGATGCATGTGCATGTGAAGTAGGGTGGGAGGTAATATTCCAGAAACCACCCAAGAAGTCAAAAGAGACGGCTCCATCACCATTGTGCATAAGGAAGTTTGAACATTCATGATCATTTATTACTGATGGTTTAACTGTTTTGTATGAACCATAAAATTCACTGGTTAACTCCATCTGTTGCCTCTTATGCACTAAACAAGCCTTCTTTATCTATTTACTTCTTCATTACTAATTAATCAGAACATCACTAGATACTGTGATGCCTAGTGACAACAGTTAGCATCCGTAAGATGGATGAAAATCTGTCCATGGCCACAGGCTGGGCTTAGCCTGAAAATAACTTCCATTCTTTGGGCTTATCTGCAGCCAAAGATTTTTCATTTGAGGAATGATTTCCTTTTCATTTTATAAAACCACATTCTAAGATTTATTGAAACCGAGCAATTAATAGAGAATAAAAGAGAAAGTGAGAAAGAAAGAGAAAGAGGAAGAGAGCAAAGGAAGGAAGGGAAGAAGGAATAAAGAGAAGGAAGGAAAAGGCTGAATTACTAAGGAAGAAAGAATCAATCAAACTTGGACGAAGATACTAGATATATCGGAGACCAAAGCTTGGAAACTGCCATGTGTGCGGTACTCACTTCTATTGTGTAAGAGACTTGCTGGTTATTTATCTACAGTCTCTCAGCCCCAGATCTACCTTTGTTTCTATACTCTCATTTGTGATCTAAATCTGGGTCTCTACCACATTTCAGAAGCCCTTTGGCCAGCTGGCTTTTTGTTAGGTTTTTCCAGTAGGGGGCACCAGAAGCAGACTGAAGGTGGGACGCAGAACAAATGGTCTACCTGGTTTCTGTCACTTGTGCCAGCATCATGCCAGCAGTGGAAACTGGTTCCAGCCTCCAGTCTCTGTTAACGCATTGAGAACCAGCCTCGTCATCCTCCCTTCACAAAGATGACAGCAGCTGGGCAGAGGCCCTCCCTGGAGGTCTGAGCATTGACACTTTAGGGGCTCTCCTAGAGATCCTAGGTCTGGAGCTGTATCTAGGGAACAGTAGCTGCTTCCTAAAATTACTACTCCAGTGTTTCCTTTCACTCTTCCAGTCCTCCACTTCGTATGTAAAGAATTTCCTATATTAAACCTGTCTGTTGAAATACTTTGTTTTTCTGACTAGGCCCTTTCTTCTCATTGACTCCCCTCTGAAATACATCTTGTGAACATCCCAATAGCTGATAAATTCTGCAACCTTTCCCAACAACCTCCTGGTAGTCTAAATGAAAGGCTGCATTTTTGATTAAGAGAATCCAAAAATGCTAAAACAACTGTGATGCAGTAAAAATGACTATGTTTTACCGCTCTGTAATATGAAGCCATATCTTGCTTTGGAATATTTTTATGGTTGGCCATCTTAAAGAAAAATGAAAATTTAAATAAGATTTTTAGGATGAAAATATGAAATTATTGGATATATTATTTAATAGCACATTCTGAACGTGTAATTAAGTATTTGAGTTACTGTCAGGAATGAGAAGAAAAAGTAACAAAACATTAACTTTTTACAGGCTTCTATCAAGCTTAATGAGAAAAGATAAATTAAAAATTGAACATGAATGGAAACAACTGGAATTCCACAGGTAAGAGTCTTACCATAATCTTGTCACTGTCGATAATGGTGTTCAACCTGTGTGCAATGGTGAGTACAGTGCACTGGGCAAATTTCTCACGAATTTTCTTTTGTATTAACTCATCAGTTCTGGAATCGAAGAAGTTGAATTTAGCTCAGTAAAGCAACTTAAGACTTAAAAAGACCATATGATATTTTTATAATGTTTTTAAAAATCAACACTTTACGCATGGTCTTGTTCTTTAAGAATGAAGTATAAAGTCTATTTAGAAATTTATTATTTTTCATGAAACAATGGAAGATACTCTTCCCTTCAAGTCGCTTGAAATTATGAGGAGCTGAATTTAGAAATCCAGCTCTCCGAGGCTAATGATATCATTAACACTGTATAACATAGTTTGGTTTCTTCCTCTGTTTGCCAGAATTAATGTTATAAAGATATCTTTGGGGCAAAGAGAGGACTTAGAAAAACTTCCCAGCATCATTAAATGTTTCTCATTTTACCATATTTAAAATTCGGATTCCAGGTTACATGGCACTAAGCTCTGTACCTTGGATCCACATTTGCTGTTGCTTCATCAATTATCAATATCCGATTTTTCTTCAGAATAGCCCTGGCAAGGCACACCAACTGTCTCTGTCCAACACTGAAGTTCGATCCAGATTCTGCTAATTCAGTATCCATTTTACCAGGAAGATCTTCAATGGCTTCTTTAAGTTGTACCTGCGGATGTACAAAGAAGAATTTTCCTAAATTATTCTTAAAATGTTTCCTAAATTCTTCTTAAAGAAAGAAGTGTTTTCCTAAACAAACTACTACTGAAATAGATAAACTTCCTAGACATTAGAGTTTTGAAATTCTTGAGACTTCTGCATCTTGTGTGTATGGTCACACAACAGGGAGAGTTACTTCCAGTTCACTGAGAAAGATGGTCAACTCAGGACAGAAATGTTCTGACTTAAGAGCACAAACTTAATGGGAGTCAAGATTCTTCTAGGTTGCCACCAGAACATACAGTCTGTTCATGTTGTGCCAATTTCATTAGGACATATACAGTATGCTAAATAAAATTATTCTCATGGTAAAATATAGAAAAAATATAAATGTTCCTTTTCAATTTCAGTTAAAAGTTAACTACAGGAATTCACAGAGACAAAAAGCAGAACAGTGAGTGGTTGCCTAGAAACTGGAGAGTTAACTGTAAATGGATACAGGGAACTACTGGAGTTATAGAAATGTTCTAAAACTGGACTGTCATGATGGTTGTATAATTATAAATTTACCAAAACCACTCAATCACTTTTAAAAGAGGGGGATTTTCTGGTTTGTAAATTATATCCCAATAAAGTCAGTGAAAAGAAATTATCTCAGTGTCCCCATTTCTGACACATGACGTCTACCAGGAACCCATCCCAAGGATTAGTTAAGGAAGTCTCTCAAAAAATAAAGCTATTTCTCCCATTGTAGTCTAAACAGAAAGGTTAAAAGGATCTTTATGGGAAACAGTTTTCTAAAAATTATTGAAGGAAGTGTGGCTCTCTAATCTTATCAGTATCTTGTCCTTTTGTAAGATTTTAAAGTTTAAAAAAATACAAACTGCACTTCATATATTAGTAAATTTGGAGTTGATTTTGGTGATGATTCTTCCCCAAATTTAATCTTATATTGCTAGACCAGTCAAGTGCATTTACCTCAATCTCATAAATGTTTTTCACTGTACGAAAACTCATGGAAAACAAGGTATAATATAACATCTTATTTCCCTCAGACTATGGTGATAGATGTTTATATTCATCTCGCTTCAGAAAGTTGTAATTATAGGTTTTTAAAAAATCTTAATTACCAAAGATAATCTGAAACTATACAGGGTGGTAGAGCTCAGTTCAATTAGTATTTGTTTTTGAGAAATTTTATAGAGTGGGAAACAAACTTAGGCTATCCTTGAGAGTTAAAGAAGAAAAAAATAAATATACTTCAAATTAAGAGATTAACAGATAGATGAGTGATAGCCAATAGGCAGCAACACTGAATTACAATGTCAAATAACAGAACACCAAGGGTAAGCGGGCAACGTTTTCATGGTATCCTAAATGCTAAAGCACCTCGATGAATGTGATCTTGAGTTGTGTTCGTAATGGAAGTCCAATACCAACAAACAGAAATTCTGAGTTAGGATCAAATACGGTTTTGGTATTTACCTTTAGCTTGAAAGGTATACAAAATCTAAAGTGTAAGATTCGAATTGTGGTGCAAGTCTTTGTACTGAAAATTCTGAAACAGAAGATGTCAACTTAGTCAAACCTCCTCCATTACAAGGAAGAGGACCTACTAAGTATTCTTTTTATGACATAAATTCATAGATCTACACCCTAGGTGATGGGACTGGTCAAAAGGATGACAGTGACAAAGTCTTTATTTTGACCCTCATTCAGATTGTCCATATCTGCCTGATGAACAGTAAGGGTTGTGAGATGAAGAACCACGAACACGTATTCCAGAAGCCACTGTTTTCTGAGGCTGTCTTCATTTATAAGTCAGGGATGGTCATGAGAATGACAGGAATATGAAGACCCTCTGTAGTGTTATCATACACTCATGTTAAGTACCGGAACCAAGAGAGGGAGAACTGAGGCAGTATAACATGGCAACTAGGAATTACAATTGGAGAATTTGAAAACATTAGATAACAGCGTAATATTACTAGTAAATTTCTTGAGTGAGATAACTGTATTATGCAAGAGAATGTCCTTATTCCTATAAGGTATATATTTACACATATAAGAGTGAATTACAACTCCTAATAAAGATTTCTGTAACTTACTTTCAAATGGTTCAGCAAAATGTAGATTGTAGAGGAGAGGAAGGAAATGTGGCAAAATATTAACAACTAGCGAATCTAGTTGAAGGGTATATGTGTGTTCGTCAGACTATTCCTTTGACTTTCCTGTGATCTAAAATTTTTAAAATAAAAAATTGGGGCCCTGAAGCCAAATAGCCTGGGCATGAGTCCCAGCTGGCTCTGCCAATTGGGCAAGCTCCTTAACTTTCTCTACCTTAGCTTCTTAACCTCTAAATAAGACTATAATATAATAATAATAAAGCTGTCTACCTCCTAATATTGTTGGGATATGAGTCAGTATGTTTAGAGTTTACACCAGTACTTGATACAAAGCAAGAGATCAATAGATATTACCTATTATTAATAATTCTGTCAGCTAACCTCTCTCCATGTTCTACTGCATTTTTCTTCTTGGCATTTATCAGTACTGAGACTATATGCATATAGATAAAATAGTCTTGCATCTGTTGACCTTTTACTGATAAACTGCTTAATCTTCAGCAATTACTTATGTTATATTTATAGAGCTACCATTGCTTCTTAGGCTCCTCAAATCAGCACTAACTTCTAGTGAACTTTCTCTAGTTTACAGCTGGCTATTTTTCAGTACATATATGAAAATTGTATTTTAGCATATTTCAAAAAATAACCAACATGAGATGAGCAACAGCCATAGAACTATCTCCCTTCTGAATGTCCATCTCTGCTAAGGGAGAAGAAGAAGGCAGAACTAAGAAGAGTTTTTTAAAAAGCATCTTTTCCTTTGGTTTGAACTTCATAAAAGGAAAAATGCAGTGCCCTCTTACTGCTCGTAAGCCAACCCTACGAGTTTGGATTTCCATTGTCATTTTGGCATTGTTTATAAACCAGCTGACTAGGGTTTTTAGTTACCTATACTCTGACTTCTTTGCTTTCTATGTTTTTTAATGAAAGATGTGGCAAATTAGGATACCAATCTTTCACTGGAAAAAACAAAAGTCACAAAGAAATAATTCCTAGAAAAATACAATAATGGGATGATTTCTTACTATCAAAGGTATCACTGAGACAACAAGGTCAATTCCAGAAGCAATACATGAAAACTACTGACTTTACTTTGTGAAATAAATTCATATTTATTTGTATTCACAGAAAGTTCCAAATGTAGTTTAAATAAAGGCAGATCTTAGTATTATCTACCACTTTCACCATCTCATCATTTTTAGAATTCTGAGAGGCTAGTAAATTTTATTTTAATTTTTGCTCCTACAGATGAAATAAGTTACAGCCAAATTCGAAGGATTTGTCTCTCAATTAACATTTTTCCACCATCCATGGAACAGTGTGTTTCTAGAGTAATTTTACTATCTTAGAATCCAACAAGAGAGATCTCAAGCTCTGAAACAAATAGAAAAGTAATTTACCAGTAAGTCTTGTTTTTTAAGGTGTGTCACAATTTCACCACTAAATGTGCCCTAAGTGCAAGAGCAGTGGATCATCCTCCTTTTCTTTATATTTGATGGTTAACTATTCTCCCCACCACTCTTCTAGAAATTCACTGCGGGACTCAGCAGCTCAAATGAAATTAGAGGTCCATTGCTTTTCAAGGAGGAGAAAGTGAAGTAGTCGGCCTGAGTTAGGAAAATAAAATCCCCGGTTGCTGGAAAGCAGGGTGGGTGTGTGAAGTCTCAGTGCCGACATGCCTTCAGAAACCAGAATTACTGGCAGGAAATTGTCGGGCCTCCAAATCTGCTTGCTCACTATCAAAGCTCATCTATAGATTAAAGATTTCAGATTCCCTATCCCTGGAAGGGTGACAGGAAAGGACAAATACAGATTCAAAACAACAACAACGTGAGCAACTGATGACTGATTCGTGGGTTTTTTTGGTTTTGTTTTTTAAGAAATGAGCCGCCCTTCTCTGAAATGAAGAGAATGTTAGTAAACATTCAGTGCCTGTTTATTAATTGCTTACTTTTTAAAAGCAAAAGATTGAACTAGGTCCTATGAAGGGTGAGAAGTCTGTCTATAATTTAGAAGTCTAGATATGGTTTCTACCATCCAGTAGACTAATCAATTTGCAAAACTAGGGCAAATACACAAAATAATTAGTATTAAAATATACAGATCAACAGCACCTAAACAGTCAAAATCTTTTTCATGCAAGGGAAAGGAAATTCAAAGAAATAGTCCAAAGGGGAACACTATGTAGATAATAGAAAATACTCTAGAAATGAATGTATCAATATAAAAATGAAGCGAAAGCTCCAGAGTTCTGCATTCACTCTGCGGCAGTAAAACATGTTTGGCAATAAATGATTATTATTACATTCTAACTGTATAATTTACCTTTATAAACACTTTCTTATAAAACTTCAAAGTATTATATTAGTAAGACCTCATTTATCTTTCAGTTAATAATGAAAAAACATTATTGTCTCCACTTAGTAGATGTTCCCTAAGACCAGAGGAGTAAAATGAATATTGTAGTGTAATTAATTAGCCACTAGGTCACTAGTAGAATTTGAACCCATAATTATAACTTCGAGTTTAGTGCTCTGCTAAGGACAAGTAAGATAATGTATATAGTTGCTTTGGGTTCTAGGAAAAAAAGTTAAAATGAAAACATGAGGCACCAAAGTGCCACCTTAATTACCTGCAATGCAATAAACGTACATACATACATACTAATGCCAACAGGTTAATTACATTTTATAAATTACCTCTTTTAAGGCGTTCCACAGTTCCTCATCCGTATGCTCATTAAAGGGATCCAGATTTTTCCTCATTGTTCCAGTGAATAAAACAGGTTCCTAAGTACCCCGAAATAGTGAATGTTATTACTGTAGCCTCTTTTCATTCCAGTGCTTTCAGAACAGAATTAAAATTCAAAAAACCAAAATTCACTATAATCATGAGTTATAAGGTTGCAAATGCCTGTTTACAAAACAACCTCTCCATTAATTTTTCATTGTAGAGTGCAGTCCAAAATAACTTCTAGACCACTGAACATTAAAAAAAGGAATCTGTTGAAGTGTGTCTTCTTAAGAAGAAACTGAAGAAGAAAAAGGTTTGATTTTTAAAAATGCCTTCCTGGTAGTATTATCTGCTTAAATAGAAAAAAATGAAGATATAATTATTTAAGGAAGTTTATATTAAGAGAGTTATATAAATTGTCAATCCAAGTGTGATATTGGAAAAATAACAAAACCATGATTAGTTGAAATTTGTACCTCAAAGCAAAATTGTTAAGTATTTTCACATTTGCGCTAATGAATAAACTAGGATATTTTCTCCACTGGTAAAATATTCTTCCGGGATTGAGAATCTTTCCACGTGTTCGAATGGGACAATCTTTTTTTGTCCCAAGATAATGTATAATGGGGCCAGTGGCACCTCTATTCATGAAGAGAACCCCTCTGATTTGTAGTAGCCTATCCCCATATTATCTTATCTCTGCATCAGGATTATATGACTCACAGAACCTCATTATTAACTGCAAGGGCTGGATAACCTGAAACCCATTGTGATGTGCATCGTAATAAAATTATTTTTATTTAAATAGAATTTCCTAGTCATCTGCTTTGGGAGGAGCTACAATTAATTTACTCTTGAAATATATGCCTCCTGCTGGGTTTCAAGAGAGATTCTTGTACCTAAGCTTAAGTAGGCCATTTAAGTTTTCTTCTGGAAGGTTCTAATGACTCAGGCCACAAGAATATGGACAGCAGAAAAGAGTCCAATTGGCTACTTAGAATAAAGGTGATAGAATGATGAGATGCACAGCTATAGGAACAAGAAAAGATTTGACTTTTCCACCAGTGCTGGACTCAAGGGAATCACCACCAGCCTCATATCTCGCCTGGCCTGAAGGCTGGACTGATGTTCGTTTCTCAAAAGCCTGAGAAGGAAGATTAAGAAGGCAGACTTTTCTCTTCTCTAGCCATGAAGAAAAATGACCCTTGGAGAGCCCCCTATACTTTCCCTGTTGTCTCAGTTTTAAGACTGCTGAGGGCGAAATGGATGCAGAAAATAGATGGTGTGCCAGCAAAAAATATGTACCTAAGCACAATCTTAAATTAAAGAGATACTGAAAAGGGCACTTTATTTGCACAAGGTTGATTAAGTGGCTAACATGGCCCAAAAGTGCTGAAAATCACTGGTCATATGATGTTTCAAAATGATTATCGAATTGAACTAAAAAATCCCAAGACCCAAATTTAAGGTCTCCCTGAAATCTACTGAATTTAGAATCAAAAACTAAATCGTCAAACAATGGTAAGAGTTCCTTGTTAGGGGAATAACCATCACTGTACTTCAGATTTAAACAAAACGAACAAACAAACAAACTGCTCTTATTCTATTATTATCAACTCTAAGATTCTACTAACCTATGCGATTTCTCTTCCTTTCGTTGTTTCCATGAGGTTTACAGACACATGTGGTCAGGTGAGAGAAGGCTGGCACTCATAATTCCTCACCCTTCTGACTTTCCTCCCACTTTCCCCCAAGGCCCTGAACTATGAGCGGTATTATACTCAGGAGCCCAAACTGAGTGACTCTTTGAGGATTGGTGTTTGAGGAGAGAAAAGGGCTGAAAGAGGACAGGTTAAATCAGCTTGGAGCCCACTGGGAGACGTGACAGATGGTCTCTTTGCTTATATTAAAGACAGGACCATTTCTTTGCCCATCTCGGCTTTTACGACCTGAATATCTTTTCCTTCGGATTCCTCTCACAGAGCAAATTTGCATCCAGTAAGAGGTTTAGAGTTTGATAAAGTACCTGGTTTTCAAAGCACACTCTGGAGAGACATTATCTAAGCTAACTACAAAAAAAAAAAAAAAAATGCTTTGTTTTTAAAAGATAACTATTTTTCCTTAAGTGATGACAGGGCTCATTGTACTAACACATTTGGTTGGGAATGGTGGTTTTGTTGGTTCAAGAGAACAGGCACAGGGACAACCATTTAAAGTTCAATCACCTCTTTCATAATCAGGGTCTCTCTGCTGCTACTTCCCTCACCTTCCTCTCTTTAGGAAATTCCTTGAAGAGGATAAATCTCTCCGAAAACTGGAAACTAAAGTGGGCTTCTTTGCAGAAAGAGGAGTCAGCTGACTCTGAGCCCGTGACCAATGCCAACAGCTACTTTATGCTGAGCTTTAAACAGAGATCTCAGATACTCTGCAGGCCTTAAGGAAGCTCTACTAATTCTCACCAAGTCAATGCTGACTTCCATAAAAAGAAAAAAGTTAAGTTTGAGCATTTTCCATTACATAAGGGTCTCTACTAAAATCTATACTGTCAATCTAAATGGATATATTAGGCAATCACATTTTTATTTAGCAGTATGAGATGGAGGAAAATAGTTTGGTAAGTAAGAATATTTCTTTTTGTTAAAACACGCCAAATATATATTTCAAAATGAGCAAATTTCAATCAAAACTTGCTGAATGAAACGAATGATTTATTAGAACATTAACCAACTGAAGCTATATTATTGTTTAAAACCAGCAGGCAATTTGTGAACAATGTCTATTTTAATGTGCCAGTATGTTTTATGCATGGTGTTCATTTTGGTTTCTACTCATTCTACTTTCGTCCACTTGCCAAACAAGAAACTATTACTTTATCTTTAAAAAGTAATGAAAGTGCTCACAGTAGACACATACTATAAGAGCAGATAAAGGTCAAATTAATTATCATTTCTGATAGATATTATTATTTAAAGTATCTACCTCCAACAATGAAGTTAATAAACTAATAGTATAAATAAGTGTTGTAAAAATGTTTTTAATATAGATATTTATGGTAGGGCACATAACCTTCATGTAGATACACACTAAAATTATTAGCCTAAGTACTATATTTTTGTCTGAAAGTACACAATTAAACCTCATTTAATAAGAGTTAGCTGGCATGGTACAGTTAGGAAAACAAAGCTCTTGTTCAATGTAATATTTTAAATGGAGCATTAGTATAAAACCTGCTTTTCATCATGGTTCAAAGTGTACTCTTTTTAAAATCTTTTGTGCCACATTCAGTAGTAATTTTTTCCTTTGTTACTAACATAACCAAGTTCATATTAGGCGTGTGACCCAAAAATGGCCACTCTGAATCAAAGCATTTAGTGTAGTAAATTGATAATCCCTCAACACAACTGCAAGACTGAAAACTACAGTCTTACTAGACCTTTTGTATTGACTACTAGAAAACAAGCCTCTCATTATCCTAAAAAGAAATCCTACCCACTAACCTTCAGATACTTAAAACGACCCAGGACCAAGACAAAAACTGTACAAGTGGTTACAAACTAGGCAGATAAAGCACAACACTTTACTTTACCCTAATCATTTCAGTCTCAAACCAGGAAACTGCTCTCTATCAAAATATTTCTCAATAGCTGCTACCCCTGTTTCTTCAAGTCCTCAGAGCTACATTTTCATTTCTAATCTGAGGACCTTTATGAAGGGCAGCTCATCTCCCTGTTTCAAGAATGAGGGAATCACCTGAAGTTGCTTGAAATCTTGGTTTCTTTCTTTCTTTCTTTCTTTTTTTTTAATCCTGTAGCCTCTGAATGAACCGATCATCATCCACATTCAGAAGAAAAGAACATTGTTCACCAACAAAAGAAAAAGAATTTAAGTCGTGTAAAGTCCTCTTTCGATACAAAAAGGTCAGGAGCTCCAGGGAGCAGTTCCAGGGGCCTTAATGAAGACTTCAGTGTCGGAAACAAAGGCCCGACTACATTAGGCTGGAATCCAGTTGTATTTCTTTACGAGTAACAGCATACCCACATCTTCTCTCTTTGAGTTTTGTTCTCGAGAAGAAAATAAGGGAAAAGAAAACCAGGTAATAAAGAAGAAGTCTTAAAGAGACAGCTCTGATTAACTTTTTTGAAGCTGCTGAAGACAACGAAGGGAAAGGAAATACCAAAAGAGCAGAGTGGGGTGTTTAAAAAATACCTAGCTTTTGCTTTGATTTTAAAACTCTATTAAATATAAAAAAATAAATTTGTTTAATCATATAAAGATGATAGCTCTTGATCTGTGCCAACCCTTGAGGTGAAATCATAAATATTGCATTTCCATGGAATCCCTCTTCAAGTGAAAACATTTTCTTTGTGCCAATAGGACAGGTGCTCTAGATGTAGAGAAGCCATCCAAAGAAATTTTGAAATCCATTTTTCCAGATCCTTTCAGATAAGCAAGCTATTCCCCTGAATATAATCTCACTTTGGTGTTCTGTTGGGGAAATATACTTCACTATTTTGGGTTGTGAGTACAAAGGACACACAACTACCTGTTTTAAAAAATTGCGAAGTGCCTTTATATATATATATTTTTTTGCTTATTCCTGAAATTCTGAACACAAAGTGAGGTCTACATTTTCAAGAATACAGTATTTGTTTTTGAAAGTTGCCTCTAGGATGGCCCTACTGTGTATGTCATCATTCCTTTGCCTCTTGTCCTACACAGGTCTTTGGAACTATCACATCTCCTCCAGATCTGACCTGCCCATGGTAGGTCAAGAGTGACAGGAATGAGCCTGTGAGAGAGAATATCACAAAGCTCACTGCTGCACTTAGGATCACAGCAAGCAGGAAGCCAGGGAAGATGATGCGGGTCTTCCTCACCAAATCTCGGAACTCAAGGAAACAGCCCTGGGGTCCACCTTTGCAGAGTCTGCTCTAAACTTCTTAGGGCCCCTAAATCAGGGTAGTGAAACACAAGCAACACTGCTTCTATTTTGGAGGAAGTGAGATGTAAGTTTTCCGCAGTACAGACAAGAAACCAAGTAACCAGGCCAACAGAATTTCTCCACCTCTACAGCCAATGAGATGCTGCAAAGAGAAAGGGCTCTTAGCTCTGGAAAGGTAAGATTTTGAGTATATTCTCCTGAAACTTACTAGCCCATGACACATAAATGAATAAACTCATTTCTAAATTGATTCTTCTTTTAATGCTGAGTGTGACTTGAGTTTTTTGGCAAAAGTAACAAAAGATTTAGTTTTTCAAAACCACCTGATTGTCCAAATGAAAAACATAGTACTAGAAGGAATATCTTTTAACTTTGTTCTATGTTCATATTTGTTACAGTTTTGGGAAATTCTTTTTGAATAGGGTAATAGAAAAAAATGGGTAAAATATCTGATGAGAACATCATTCAGCTCAACAAACATATATCTATGTATATATATGCATATATGTGTGTATATGTGTGTAAATATATGTGTATATATATGTGTGTGCGTGTATCTAACTATCTATCTATCTATCTATCTATCTATCTATCTATCTATCTATCTATCTATAGAGAGAGCATGTTTATGTATCAGACAGTCTTGAGTTCTGATTCTACTGCTTATTAGCTGTTTGACTCAGGGTAACTTATTAATCTCTCAAACCTCGGTTTCCTTACTGGAAAATGGGGCTAACCTTGCAGGACTGCTGCGAGAATCTAGAACATAAATGAAGCTCCTGGTGAGGTGCTACCATGTACCTGGAGCCCAGCCAAACAGGGACAGTGAGAGGCAGTGTTTTTCAAACTGTAGATATAACCAATGGATCATGAAATCAATTTTGTGCCTTATGATCATCATTTTGTCTTTTATATGAGCTACGATAGAATGGATATAATAGAAAATAAAGTACAGAGCACAGAGTAATATTGTTCTGTGAAATTTTTTTCTGTGTGTATGTGCGTGCACACACACACGCACGTGCACACATATGCGCGTGCACCAAACGATACAAAGTTCTACTGTGGAGCACAGTCAACAGCCCTAGCAGAGTGATGAGCTGCTCAGGCTGTGGAGCTAGGAATCTCCCTAAAAGAAATTTGAATCCTGGCTCTGCCACTTAGTAAATAGGTTGAGCTCACTCTGCCTGTTTTTAAATCTATCTGATAAAGAAATAGGCTAAATAAGAAGTGTTAAAGATTCCACAAATGTTAGGAATTATTATTAATACTTGTGTAATTTGTCAGGGCCTGAAATAAGCACTAGAGCAACGGAAATGAGAGACACAGCCCGGCCTCAGAGAGAGGTAGAAAATAACTGGGGATGTGGGGAGGGCTGAGAAAAAATGTCAGGGGTCTTCATGGGGCGACTGCAATGTATTAGTGGGATACAGATCAGTAGTCAGGAAAGAACCCTGATGGGAGGGGGATCAGAAAACAAAAGAAAAAAACAAGTGGCATTCTCCCCTATTGTTCCTTGTGAGACAAACGGTGGGTAGATTTCTGTTCCTCTTACGTTCTTCCTTAGAACTCCTATTGTGCTCATTTTCTTCTTCTTTTTCTTTTTTTGCTTCACTCTTTAAATTTATATAAGCAATTTGGTTTATGTTATAAGTAATCAATGTAAAGAAAATCACCAAGGACCACAAAAACATAAGTAGAAATTAAAGAGCCAAGTCCTTCCAGAATGTTACTATTTTTTCTTAAGTAGCAATAATACCACAAAGGCCAGTAATACCAGTGTCTCAATCCTTAAAAATCACAGTTACTGTTTACAGAGCATTCCTGAGAACCAGGCATGCGGCCACAAACATTTTCTCAGTCACTGAAATCTTCACAACAAATCTGCGAGGCAGTAATTACTAGACCCGGTTTAAGCAGAAGGAAACTAAAGCTTAGAGGCCAAGTGACTTCTTCAAGGTCACACGCTCAGATGAGGCAGAGCCAGATCGTGCTGACGCTCAGCTTGCACTCTTAAAGATTCTACCCCTGGCAGCCTCCTGAATGACTTCGGGGACCCTTTAGACATTGCACGATCTCTCCTTTTTTTTTAATCAACAAACATTGTGCCTTGGAGACAAAGGTATAAAAAGTAAAAAAAAAAAAATAAAGGTTCTGTGTTTACAATGATTGGTGATCATTATCTACATGGATACAAAGCTCAGCACTGTTTTGTAAGCACACTCTCTGGAGTATGTATATAGAGCATGCTCAATGCTAGGGTGGAAACTAATGGAACAGAACCAAAACCTGGTGATGTCAAGGTATATTTAGTCTTTGCTCAGATGTGCTTCCAAAACATTACTGGCAGAGCCAAGAATCACCTAATATTATTTCTTTATTTATACAGTTTTTTTATGTACACAAGCATACAACTTTTCTTATTAAGAAGCATTAAAAGTAACGCAGGACATGTTACTAGATCCTTTCATTCAAGGATGTGAAAGTACTTTACAGATACCCATTTCCATTATTTCTGCTAAGTAAATTTCTTTGGCCCATTTCAGAGATGAGTACAACCAAATAGAAAATTTGGGAATTTAAACTCACATTTTATACTGTAATCACTAAATCGTGAAGCAAATAACCAGAGAGAATCTTTTAATACAATGATTGTATGTGGTGAAAATGTCTTTTTGTTTTTCCTGAAAAGGATATCTTTAGAACAATTTTTTTTTTAATTCTGGTAAAATACACATAAAATTTAATACCTTAACCACTTTTAAGGGTACAATTCAGAGGGATTAAATACATTTGACATTGTTTTACAGTCATCACCATCATCCAGTCACAGAGCTCCTTTCATCAGCAAAACTGAAACTGTACTCATTAAACAACTCCCCATTCTCCACCTCCCTGAAGCCCCTGGTATCTACCATCCTACTTCCTGTCTCTATGAATTTGACTTCCCTAGGTACCTCATATAAGTGGACTCATACAGAATTATCCTTTGGTGACTGGCTTATTTCACTTATAATGTCCTCAAGGCTCATCCATATTATAGCATGTATCCAAATTTCCTTCCTTTTTAAGGCTGAATTATATTCCATTGAATGGATATCCCTCATTTTGTTTACGTATTCATCCATCAGTGAATATGTGGGCTGCTTCTGCCTTTTTGCTATTGTGAATAATGTAAGGGTATACAAATATCTCTTTAGGACCCTGCTTCCAATTTTGGGGGGTTTACACATGGAAGTAAAATTGCTGGATCTTATAAGTCTACTTTTAATTTTTTGAGGGACCTCTACCTAGTTTTCCACAGTGGCTGTACCATTTTACATTTCTATTAGCCATACACAAAGGTTCTAATTTCTCTACATAATTGCCAAACTTGTTATTTTCTGTTTGTTTGTTTATACTAGCCATCCTAATGGGTGTAAGGTAGAATCTCATTATGGTTCAAAAGGGATATCTTGCTTTCACAATTACTTCCAGAAATTCCAATTATTTTAGAGGTCAGTGGTAGGTAGCAAGAGCTGTACTTGGTCATAAGATGCAAATCCATATTATCCTTCACTATGGGTACCATGTTCTACATACTTCCTAATAAATAGGTATTTAAGAGTTCTTTATATTCACATGCCAGGAAGCACATTTGCCTGGCTCCTTTTGTCTCGTCTCTCAAGTTTCTCATCTCAAGAGGGTGTGTGTTTTATCTTGTCTTCCCTTGATGACCAGATGATTGTAGAATGTAAAACCATACCAAACCAAAAGAAAAAAAAACCTAAATTTAAAAATTCAGCAAGTCTGGAGCTGAATATGTGTAAGTGCTAAAGCCAAGGGCAAGATGGAAGATGTGAGGCCCCAGGCCAGGGGGCAAAGGGCTACGTTGCCCTTGGCCATATACTTGGAAGACAGTAATGGCTCAATAAATATTTCCTACATTTAGTGGATGAACCACAGGGAATGACAGTTCTTATTGCGGATATAATCTCTAACACTCTCTGAAAGTTGTACTTCTATTACGAAGCAGAATAAAGGAAAATAGAACAGAGCCCAGGAAGAGATGATTAGTTCAACCCTCCACCATCACAGCAACCACGTACTAGGTCTGTGTGAAGTACTTCACATACACTCACCCATTTAGTCCTCACAACAGTCTAGGCGTCGATACTGTTAGCCACCTTGTACCGCAGAGAAAACTGAGGTGCAGAGAGATAGATTTCCTTGTTTTCCGTTCTTCCTCACTATTCTGTACTGCCTCCCCGGTTTATATCATTTACTAATGGCTAGAGTTCTAAAAGTCTCTCCAAAACATCTACACACTCTGTAATTCTCAAAGCCCCACAGTTTCATAGAATAGCCCTCCATGGAAACAATCACCTCTGAAAAGTATTTTTATTTCCCTATAGCAAAATTTCATCATGAAGACACTTAAAATCCATGCTTTCCTATAGAAACCTCTCGAGTGCTAAACAAACCATTTATCATTCTGTTCTCAGAATTATGCGGTTATCAGTGGACAAAATTGGGTACTTGGAGAAGTTTGAGTCCAGAAATCTATCTGGGTAAATTATTAGATCTCTCCTTCCCTTCCTCTCTCTCTCTCTCTCTCTCTCTCTCTCTTTCTTCCCTTTCCTCTCCCCCTCCCCCTCCCTCCTTATCTCTCTCTCTCTCACATATGTACACCAAACAAAACAAACAAAATCTGCTATTGATGAAAATATCTGTTGAAAAAACCTGCTGTTAAAAATATACTCTACTGCGGGAAAGAATCAACACTTTAATTCAATTTTTTAAAAAAGCAATAAAATTAAAAGCAATTAAATGTAGGTGCCCTTATAAAAAGAACATATGAGAACGCTCTGACTTGCATACCTGAGGTATGATTGACATTTTCTTTCTTAAATCATGAAGTCCAATTTCTGTTGTCAAGATCTTATCAATCCAAATTTTACCTTTGGGTTCTGACAATCTAAAAAGGGCTGAGATGAGGGAACTTTTTCCAGCTCCTGTTCTTCCCACAATGCCAACCTGTAAAGAGATCCAGGAGAGATTAGGAAGAAACAATTTTCAACAAACCTAGGAGAAACCTTGGTTGTTGAAGATGAATTAAAGAAGTTCCATATTGAATGCAGTCTAAAAGAGTTTCTTAGCTTTGACACTTGACATTTCAGGCCAGATAACTCTTTGTTGTGTATGGAAGGGGGCCCTCCTGTGCATTGTAGGATGTTTACCGATATCCTAGGGTTCTACCTTCTAGATACCAGTAGCACCCCCGAAATTGTGGCAACCAAAAATGTCAGACATTGACAAATGTCTTTTAGGGTGGCAAACTGTCCCTGGTTGAAATTTACTGGTCTAAAGAAGAATTAAAAATAAGAGAATCAATCCACTGGCAATGAAAAACCAGCAGTCTTCTGAGCGGTCTATGAGAAGTCGGCTTTTAAATTAGCTTTATTCCTGCTTCTGGGTATTTTGAACCTTGAGAATTTCTTAGATAATTTTATAGAGATGTCAACAAGTCAGGTCAGAAGTGTGATACATAAACAACTATGCGTTTACCCAGAGTTCTATCTTTTAAGAGGAATTGTTGGGTAAAGAAACTAAATCGCTTCTGGATATTAAATATATGGTTACGTTCTGTCTTGAAAGGAAACATCTTAAAATATTTAAATGTAGGTCACAGTGTCTTGACTATAGTGAGTAGCCAAAATACACATAATGAGATCAACAACAACAACACAAGTAGCATTTACTGTTTATATGGGGCCTTTCATCTGAGCAGTTCAAAAAGCATTTTACAAACGAGTTAATAGTTATAAATTGCCCCTTGGGAAAGATACGTGTCAAGTATCAGTCTGCTTATTAAAACCAAAACAGAGAGAAATTAAGTGCACTGACAAAAGATCAAAGAATCAATATAATGCAGGTAAAATGCTGGTCAAGAATGAAACTGTATCGTAAAAACTGGCTTTTCGTTGTGTGCATTTAAATCTGTATGCAGAAACTGGCCTTTTTTCCAATGAGCTTCCCAACTGAGAAGTCCCCGGTGGGAGCATCCCAAGAGATGGTGTCTCTATTTAGGAATCTGGAATCAATGAGGGGCATAAGACTGCTTTCAATCACTTGTAAATTAATTCAGTAGATTTAGAAAACTTATAGCTTTAAACACAGAAGAACTAAACCTTTCTGAGCACTGCTTATATGGTGGGAATTTTACATATTTTCTCATTTGAATACCTCCAAAGTTTTAAAGCTAAATCTGTAAAATCAATAATGGCATTTCAAAAAGAATTTATCTGTTTGATATGCAAATGAGGCAGCAAGTAATGAAGGACATGTGCGAGGTTCCTCTGCTCACAAGCATGCTCCAATGTCACACCAGATTTAACAAAACACCAGTTCCAAGATAAAATTAATAATTTCAAGATAGTGTCAACAGGGCTTTTTAACCAAGCACAGGACCCTTCTGAGAGCAGGACTCTGTAAATGGTACTTTTTGCACACCCGAGAAGCCAGCCCTGCCTTAATTCTTAAGTGGTGATGTCAGGATTTGAACTCAAGACCCTAGGCTCTGAACCACTATAACTACATTACCTCTCTTGACTATAGTGCTTTTCTTACTGTATTAATTTAGCTTTTTTTGTCTTCCCCACTGCTGCCATGTCAAAATTATTAGAAACAACCACATGACAAGCTGATTAGGACCCTCAGGCTTCTTGGCATTCCTTTTATCAGATGCCAGTAAGTTCCCTTTCTGTCTCCATAGTAGCTATTGTAAACCATTTTCAAACTTCTTCCCTAGATTTGAATCTTCTCATTCCCACTAAATCACAATTTGTCTACGTTGAGCCATCATTTTCTTAATTATGTATTTTATGCAAATGATATATCAGAATTTACTCTACCATTTACCTATTGCTGTATATTTATTTTTAATTTTCCTCTAACACTACAACATTGCAATGATTGGCATGCATCCTTGACTCGTATGAACTGAATTTGGCTCCAACTTTACAGAAGAAAATAGAACATACCAGGTATGAAATTCTTTCCTAAATTTATATATACATCCTCATCTAAATTCCCACTTCCTTGTCCCTGGTTAGGCTTCCTAGGAAGCAGACTCTGAGAAGGAGCGTAACATTCAGAAAGTTCATTAGGAAGTGCTCTCGGGAACTACACCTGTGTGGGAAGGGAAGCAGTCTTTTTCTCTCAAAAAAATTATCTTTATAGAAAAATGGATTTAATGTAAGAAAAATGGCTTTAGCTAATTTTATTATCTTTGTAGCCATTTTGTATTTTATGGTAAGGATGCATTTATATCTCAGAGGTAGGTCATTTTCTGCATATTGGTGGGTCCTAGTGCATATATACATGGCTCAGGTGTGTCTCTATGTATTTCTGGGTGTTCTCATATGTAAATCAACACACATTAAGACACAGACAAGAACCATGTCTCTGAGAATGCACAGATGCCCCCATGCAATCAGCTCTATTGAAACTGATCCTCTGTGCAAACTGGAACATTTGTAGACTTTTATTAAATGGCCAAAATATGGCAGGGGGCACTGAGAGCTGCTCACAGCCACAGGACTATAAGCTCCAAACTCAAGTGAGGATAATAAAAAGGCAACTCAAAGAAAATTTAGTTCTATTTCTCTCTGCTGTTCAGTCATCAAAACTACAGCCTGAATCTTTCGCAGGTCACCAATGGTTTTTACCAACTGCCCACGCAGAATATCACCAATATCAGTAAGTTTACATTCATAACACCACAGAGATACGCTGGGATAGTCTTAGGTTAGCTGCTTTGCAACTATTCCTTTGTGTTTTCTCAATCAAGCCAAGGCTGGTCTCTGATAACTACACCAATGTATTAGACACTTGCACCTGACTCTCTATACCTCAAATTCAACATGATCAATACACAATGTCCCACTCACAAAAGTTGCTTTTTCTGACTTCCCCAATTTAATCTCATAACTTCCTTCTCAGGCTCACAGGCACAAAGCATTCACCTTATTTCTAGCTTTTCCCAACACCATCATGGCCCTGAAGGTTCTACTTCTGCAATGTTTCATGGCCCAATCCCCTCATTTTAATGTCCACGGTTATCACCGTGTGCAAGGATGCATTACCTTTTAAGAAACAAAATAAAACAAACTCTTTTCCTAATCATAATCAGTACAAGTAAATTTGAAAAGTCAATAAATACTAGCAGTAACCCCAGCACTCTGATAAAACCATTTTTAAAATGTTGATGTATTTTCTTTCTGCACTTGTGCGTGTGTGTTTATGTATGTGTTCTTAAAAATACCAGCTCATATACTGAAACAAAATAGGACTAATTGCATATATTGCTATAATCTTCTTTCATTTAATATTTTATAAAAACATTTTAATGGCTATATAATATTACAGTATGCGATCATTTAACAAACACTCTATTTGCAGATATTTTGCTATTATAAATAACTCTGTTAAATATCCTTGAATTTCAATCTTTTCAATCGGTTTCTACTCCCACCCACTTTCTTGCACATTCACAAACCTGGGTGTTATAACTTTGTTTTAATCATCATGAGTTTGATTCCAAAAAGTGGAATCACTTTCCCCATTATGTCCATTATGTCTTACTAGGAATACACAACAGCTACTGGCTTCTTGGCTTTTGCATCTTCCCACTAAAGTCCATGTGCACTCACTTCTCAGATTAAACTTCCGAAAGGAGGCTCTGTGCCCTGGGAAGTCTTTTCTACAAAACTGTCCCAAGTAACCTCTCCATCCTTAGTCTCCACAATTCTGCTTCCATGGGATTACTAGGTAGCTGTGAGGATTAAACGTGAAAATGTCTGTTATATACCTGGTAGTTCAACCACCTCCCTCCACTCCCAAGGCTCTGCAGGTGCCTAATTCTTCATTCACTGGATCGAGGCATCATGCCTTTGCTTATGCTGGTCCCACCACCTGGAATGCCTTTCACATGCAATTCCACCTGCTGAAATCCTTACCACATGTCACGAGGTCTGTCTCAAATGTCTAATATCTCAGAAATGCTCTACTTGTCCCCTCATGTGGACTTCTCCCACCCCTAACAGATATTATATCAGCTTTTCCTAAACTTCCATAAAATCTGTGACCTCCTTCTGTCTTACATATTAGCCATTTTTATACTACCCCGTTGCTTCTACTAAACTGACAGCAGCATCTGTTTTAGATTCATCTTTGTTTTATTTTTATTAACTGAGGTGTCCTGCACAAAAGAGGCATTTCATAGAGAGTTGAGGAGTTTACCGCAGGCTGGGGAAATTTATGGAAAATCTATTACCATATTGTTTAGGTATATGATAAGCTAGAGAGAAGACAGGCATGGCAGATGGATTCTATAACCATAAATACAATTGCAAACGGCCAACCCCTCACTTTCATGAGGCAGACAACAATTTATGCAGTATAAGAGGTTACGATCATTTTACACCCTATGATAATGACAGCTATCTTTGTCCAAGCATTTACTCTGTGCTGATCTCGGTGCTAGGTGCTTTACATGTCTTATCTTGTTTAAGATGTACAACAACCCTATAAGTTGAGTTCTATAACTTCCATTTTGCACAAGAGAAGAGCAAGGCTTAGTAAGATTAACTAGCCTGCTTGAAATAATAGAGCCCCTAAGTGGCAGGAGAGGACTCAAACCCAGGTCTGTCTGCCTCTTATCCATTCTGCTCATGGCTTCCTTATCACGTGGAAGGCCTGCCACCTTATTATGTCCTCTGTCTCGCTGGAAGAGCTGCAGTTAAAGGAAATGGCCTACTATATGGATCCTATTGCCAGAGAGTAAAAGCACGATGTGGGTACCAATGAGTATAATGTGGTGGGTGGGACAAGAGAGTTCTCTGAGAAAAGAAGGTACCCAAGGTCAGGTGGTCTAGCCGTTAACAGGAAGAAACAGCACTCACTGCTTGGGCTAGGAAAGAAACCTGCAGCTATGTGGAACACATGACAAAAAGGCCAGACTTACCTAGCGCCCTGCTTGAGACAGGGAGACTAATTTTTGATCCCATCAGGTGCTGACAGGGCCTCAAATATATTGCTACACCTGGTTGTCTCTGCCTCGGGACCCAGTCGGGGTCCGGCCAATGGTGAAATATCTCTAGTCTCTGCAGGAGACTGGGGAGGGCTAGACAACAGGATGAAAACTGCCTGTGATGAAGACAGACTATACTGAAAAGATGCAAATAAATGCATAAGCTTGGAATCACACAGAATTAAATTATAATGTAAATTCACAATTTGCAGAATATAAAAGTAAATAAATCTGTAGGGTGGTAAGTGGTAAAGAAACTTCTAGAGCATCATGCTCAGTCATAGTGGTTGGGGTAATTCATGAGCTTAATTTCAAATTGTCAAAGGACATTTCTTGGAAGTCATGGGCTATAAGTCATCAAAAACTGCCTATGAGGGAGGGATAACTACCAGGGGATCTTGTTCAAAGGCAATTCTGCGTCGCAAAGTCTGGGTAGGTTTGAGAGTCTGCATTCTAAAAAGCTTCCAGGTGACGGAGGTGCTGCGGGCCTTGGCACCACAGTTTGAGTAGCGAGGAATCAGAAAACTGGCATGGGAAACAAAACAATCTCAGAGTAAGGGGAGGGGTTTCTGAGAAAGTATGACATAAAAAAGAAGAAAATGTAGGAAACTAATATTTTTGCACATTATAGCAAGGTCTAGTACACATCTGTTAAAAATGTATTATCCAAGTAATAGCTCTGAGCAAGAAAAAAAATAATAAACCAAAATCAATCTACCTCTAGAGCTGGAAAATGCTTTAAAATGGCCCAGTACTCTTCTAAAATGATCAAATCAACCACAAAATCATCTAAATGAAAAATGCAGCCAGTGTTTAGAAACTAACCAGGAAACCGAGGGTGCTTTTTACCTCATTTTGGTTCTTTAATTTTACTTGGTATTTCTTCTGTGAATTAGAATCCTGCTTAGTATCTATTAGATTTTCTTGTTTACTATAACTTCCAGGAATCTGGACAGCAGAGGAAATAAATGAAAGAATAAAGCACCACTTCTTCTGTGTTTGCACATTCTCACGTCCTCCCCTGCAACAGCCTCTCTCAATCAAATGCAAGACCAGAGGGGTATCCCAGAATAATGGGGGCTGGCACAGGTATGGAGGAGATGAAACTTGGAATCTTCACAGGCAGAGTGAAATCATTTCATGACTACGCTGGCTGGATACAATTTCTGAATTCATAAATGGAGCTAAAGGCGATACTCTGAGTGGACCAAGACACAAATCAAAAGTTGTTATTGGAGTTACCATAATTCAGTCTCCAAATTCAATTTTCCCTCAAACATTTTAGAATCTCGGATAATCCTATGACCTGGGGGCCTTAACACAGAAGAATACAAATCTGTTATGTTTCTAAGTTGCGTGACAGTTTCTTAGAACATTCATATTTTATGATTTCAAGAGAAATTTAAGACATGGGCAAATTAACAGAATTATGTTTAGAATGCGATATGTGATGGACACATTGTCTACCAGTCAGCAAATATCCCTTAAAGTGCTCTTAGGGACAAAATTCCATCAAGAGCTGCAGTTAATGTTTTCCCAACACAGCAGTCCTCACCTTCTTCCAGACCTACAATAAAACTGGAAATAATCAGGAGCCAGCTTTTGCCATGTGACTCACTAAAGCTGTTCCCTGGGTATCATTTGGGCATTAAGTTGAGCATTTATTCTTTCATGTCACAAGGGTATCATTCATTAAATTATGGCTATAGTCCACTAAATGGGTCTGTGGTGGAAAGAGAGCTTAAAAGAGCAGTTCTTAACACATCTAGGTAATGGGTTGTTTACACGAGTTGTCTTGTGTGTAAGTTTTTGTTACTGGTTGCTTTGTACCTGCATATTACTCACTCACTCTCCCAGCGCCCACTGTGTGCCCTGCAAAATGCCATTTTCTGGGGAACAAAGATGAAAATAAGATGCTCCCTACCTTAAGAAGCCTCTGGGTACTGTGAGATACAGACCTAAAGTTACAAAGCACGCCATAAATGCTAACTTTTATTTTTTAATTGCGATAAAATACACAAACATAAAATTTACCAACTTAACCATTTTTTAAGTGTATAGTTCAGTAATGTTATATACATTCACATTGTGGTGCAAGCAATCTCCAGAATTCTTTTTGCTTTGCAACACAAAACTATGTACCCACTAAACACTAACTCTCCATTCATTGGTCCCACCAGCCTCTGGCAACCACCATTCTACTTTCTGTCTCTAAATCTAATCACTCTAGTAACCTCTTAATAAGTGGAATCCTACAGCATTTGTCTTTTTGTGCCTGGTTTATTTCATTTAGCATAATGTCCTCAAGGTTCATCCATGTCTCAGAACTTCTTTCGTTTTTAAGGCTGAAACATTCCATTGTATGGCTGTACCACATTTGGTTTATCCATTCATCCCTTGACGGACACTTGGGTTGCTTCCAACTTTTGGGTACTGTGACTAATTCTGCCATGAACTTGGATGCACTATAACTACTACCTTAAAGAATATATAGAATGCTGTGGAAGAACTGAGGGTCTCACAGAGGCAGATGCATTAGAGTTGACTGTGAAAACAAGGAGACTTTCACCTGCCAGACTATGGAAAGGAATGGTCTCTAAAGTAAAGGGGCAGTGTGCATGCTTTGGGAGAACCTACGCACTACCCGAGTGCAGGGGGTGTGCACATGTTAGGAATTGAGGCTGGAGAGGTAGGCGGGAGAAGAGCTTCCCGACAGCCTCATCTGTTCTGGTTTAGTCACTCTTCAAGAGCCTGCTCTGGTCCCAGCTGGGGCCCCAAGTCCCACTGCTGGTGGACTTAACACTGGCAAGACCAGGTCACAAACCTCCCGCTGGTCCCCCACATGTATCATCCCCTGCCCCTTTAGGTTTCCTTTCATTGACTTTGAGCCAGTCCCCAGGCCCTTTACTGCCTCCAGCTGTGGACTCTGGTTCCTGAGCCCTGACCAATCACAGAGTCCAGACTTTTCTCTGGTGGCTGAGAACTGGCCATACGCCCCTTACCAGAGTAGAGCTGAGGCCTCACTATGGTTCTAGCAGCGGCTCTCCCAGGCCAGGAGGAGCTAGTGGAGAGCCCAGAAAGGATCAAACTTGTGTTCCAGAAAGAAGCAGCCTGCAGGTGGGAGGGCATGAGAAGAGCAGCAAAATATGAGGTATTGGAAGATGAGTCTACAGAATGGGCCAAGGGACGGTGGAGGACTGCAGCTGAAGGTTGCCATGAGGAAGAGAAGGATTTGAGAACTACAAAGAAGTAAGAATCAATAGGAATTAGATATTGGGGGGTTTGTAACAAGGGGCCAGAGTTGACTTCCAAGACTTAGGTACGAATAATTAGATGTTAGATTGAGTATCCTGAGTCAGGTTAAGTTCCAGCCCTGTGACCCAGGGCTCATCCACCACCATGAGGATAGAAATGTTGGTATTCACATTCATGGTCAGTTTCCAAGACTTATCTATAATCACTGATCTAATTTGCATCCTCAGAGGAATAGAGTCCCCTTGACATAATCACAAGGAAGCCAACAAGTAGATGTGGCACTAAATCTTTAGTTGAAATTTAAGAGTCAAAAATAGTTTAAACAAACCTTTTCTCTTGATTTAATGAGTGCTGTCAGGTGTTTCAGTACCAGAGGCCCATCTAAACTGTATGTGAAGTTCACATTGTCAAAGACTATCACTCCTTCATGGGGCCAGCCTGGTGGTGGGCGTTTTGGGTATTCCCAAGGCTCTTCTTTCTCAAGGTCTGTATATTCTATCACCCTTTCTACTGAAATCATCTGAAAGACATATGATATTACATAGGTTAGGAATGAAGGGTGTTGTTTATGGATGTTAAGAGACTGTAAATGAAATGTTGTGTTTAGGCCTAGTTGGTTAATACCACCTCAGGTCTTAACATCCTCAAAGGAGAGACACAGGTGTTTGGTGAGGACTTTGATGGTTTACAAACTTGTTCAACATCCTGTGATACTTTTACTTATGGCTACTTACCTTAAGACTATATAAAAACTACTAGAGAATTGAACGCTAAGATTTCATTTACCCACTTTTCACATCTGAATAAAAATTAGAGGATTTTGTCAAAGAAAAGAATACTTATAGCCACCAATCAGTAACTGATGCTACAGAAGGGTCATCTGTTACAGATGAATTAAATTGGATGGCCATTGAACCTCATTTTAATAGTCATTTTCTACTTTATTAGAAGAGTAAAATGGAAAGATTTTACTTTTATTGTTTTTCTCCCTTTAGGAGAAGGTGCAAATATCCAAAAGAGGAGATAACTAACATATCGACTAAACAACTGTAACTCAACACCTATGACTAGCACATTATGAGAGGGAGCTTATCCTACCAAAAAGAAGAGACATCAGCAAATTCAGGTGTTCAACACAAACAAGAATAAATGCTAAAATGGGGAAGAGGGATTACTTATTAATTAAACAAATAAACAACCTCAAAATACTGAATTTTTCTTTTACCAGGAATGAGAAATTACCCATTAAGAAACAAAAATAAACAGGACTCTAAGAAATTAGCTTATATCCTCTCCAGGATTTCAGAACCTCCCTCCTACAGAGACATTTATTACATTTGAAGACAGCTTGTGATGAATATAAAACCTGCTGACATAGCATACATAAGACTGAGGAAAAGATGTATACATTTTATTTTATATTAACTTTAAACAGATGGAAGAAGGATCTAAAAATCTCTGCTAGCTACGATGTAAAAATAACAGTTTTAATATTTTACATAAGAAGTACTTTTATGCTATTTAATGCCAAGGAGACTTGAAAAGGCTGAGAACGTTAAGATAAACATTACCATATTTTCAACTTCAGTGCTTTGCCTGATACACCACTGGAACATCCCCACGAGTGTGAGGGCGTAGGACAATGCCAGGCCAACCTGCCCAGCATCCAAAGCTAAATGAGGAAAAAGAAGGGAAATAAAGTCAGTCCCATTCTTCTCCCCGAGGCTGGTTCCTTCTATCACTTTATCAAGAAGACTCTTTTATAATATTTAAATACTTTGTATTTAATGATAGTAATAGTCATACTTTTTACTTTCTGCTGATTGAGACCATGATACCACACACACACACACACACACACACACACACACACACACAACTCATTATGAATTTCAGAAAGACTATTAAATAAGTTATTAATCCCAACAGGACTGACATACACTTGGCAGTATAATATAGGTAAGGAAGTCATTACTTAAGAGTTTCATTATGGTTGCAAGGACCATTATGTAATTTCACTCTCTATATCCAATGCAACTATAGGTGAAAACAATTAAACCAAGGCAGTGGGCACTAAGATTTTAAAATCTAAAACACTGTTCTCATTTGTTTCATTATTAAATATTGTGATTTGGTGTTGTTACTATGGAATAGTTAGGGATGGTGAATTCATGTCATGCACGCCAATACCTGCTCACCTCGTACCCACGTGGCAG